TTTTGAGAATGATGAGGGCAATGAATGTACAAATGTGCTTTACACAATTGATGTATGTATGGATTGTGATGAGTTGTATGAGCCCCTAATAAAATGATAAGTAATAATAAAAAAAGACCAACTCCAGCGCTTTTCACATTTGTGAAACTTTACTGGACTTTGAAGACTTTGGGATGGATTCCTAAAGCACTTGCCCTAATCATTGTGACTTGAACCACTTCAAATGCACAGGGTTGTCAATGATCTGAGACATATATGATATTTACACTAAAGGGCTGATTTTGTAAATGATTGTTGATGGCCTAAAATAAACCAAAGGCACTACTGCCCTCTTGTGGTCACAACAGTCACTCTTTATTGGGAAGGTATATTTTCATTTAACAACAGGTATTGCAGCTGGAGCCCTGGTGGCACAGTAGTTAGGAGTAGGGCTGCAATCCGCAAGGTCCAAAGCTTGAAACCACCAGGCGCTCCACAGGAGAAAGAAGAGAAGGCTTTCTCCTCCTTACATCTCAGAAACCCACAGGGACAGTTCTACCCTGCCCTAGAGGCTCACGAGTTAGAATCAACTGGGTGGCAGTGAGATTATTGAAGCTGGAGGAATCCTAAGTGTTCAGCTGCCAGTAGAAAAGTCTTCGATTAGAAGCTACCAGTCACGCCATGGGAAAAGATGAGACTTACAGCCTTGCAAATTCTTTGGGGCAGTTCTACCTTGTCTATAGGGTTGTCATGGGTAGGAATTGACTTGATAACATTGGCTTTTACATTTATTGTATTTGAACCCAGTAAATCCAAAATTCCATGTATATTATCTATATGTTCCTTGTACTTTACCACATGGCCTCCCAAAACCCTTTTTTAAAATTTTATACAATTTAACTAGGAATAAAATTGTTTTTTTTAATCCAAAGTAGAAATAAAAAGAAATGAGTCGATGGAAAAAATTATTTAAATGACGATAAGCATGCTCCCATTTTTTTATTATATCAACAAATATTTGTAAAAGATGTTGAAAACAAACTAATTTGGCTCCTTTGTTGATATGAGCTTCTGTTAAAAGCACATAGGTCTTTGGGGTGGGAAGGAAGGGTAGCTAAGGGGAAGTCACAGACTACAAGGGTCAGACCAAACCAAACTCAAGGCTAAAAGGTAGACAGGTGTAAACTTGAGGGAAGTGAATGATAATATTTGAGCAAGAGGGGGATGGGTAACAAACAACAGAAACAGAATAAGATAATGAGAGGTTTGATAAGTTTGTAAAACTGATGATATGCTCTGTAAACATTCACCTAATTCACAAGATCAAGTTTTAAAAACAAACAACCAAAGGTCTCAAAAGATCAACACTTTGAGACAAAGGTCTCAAAAGATCAACATTTTCCCTGCTTTCTTATTAAATATACTTATGTGCAAACCAATTTGTATTTAAAAAAATCACAGGTACCTCTTTTATTCCACTTAAGATTTAGTTTGCTTTAAACTGTGGATATGCAATGATTTTTTTTAGCAGTAACACATTGAGACCACCTTATGTTTTCATTTTGGGTTTAGGCAAAACACTGTAGAATATTTTGGTTTTAATAGAATTTGTATCCATGTGTAACCCCTATGTTTGATCTCCCCTCAGTTTAAGTAAAATTTCTTTCCAGGAAGAATAAATGTGTCAACTTTAAGATCTATTCTCAATCTTCTGTGGGGGGGGGGTGTTGTATTTTAATAAAGGTGTGTGTACCAGAGAGATTCTTCATTCACCATATAGGTTCTGTTCATTTTTAAGTATAAAATAAAGGCCACATTAACAGAGCATTACCTGAGGTTGTTTTGGTGTTGGCTGAAGAAACCAGGCTAGCGAGGCTGACAACTTCTCCTGAAGTGAAGATGAACGGAGCAGCCATCGTCACAGGGTTAGTCACAGGGTTGGCTCTCTCGGGAGTAGCATTCACTTGATTCTGCATTGCTTCCTACCAAGCAAGGCAAGATCTTTCCAAGTCAGAACACTTAGTATCCCGCATGATACCGTTATTGAACAGCCCCCTCCACCTATAGCCCTGAGATTCTGACTGATAATGACCCCACAGGTCAGAGCAGAACTGCCTGATAAGGTTTCCAAGGCTGTGACCTTGATGGACACAGACTGCCTCATGTCTCTCTCAAAGAGGGGCCAGTGGGTTTGAACCACCAACCTTTTGGATAACAGCTAAGTGCTTAGCCACTAGGGATTTCTCATTAAGACTTGTTTTTTTCCAAACCATAGAGATGTTAGCTTGTTTTTTTCAAGCTTGTTATTACTTTAGCAAAACAAAGGTATATTATTTGCTGAAAATTCAAGACAATTCAGTTAACCTCTTTAGATCTTGGGTTTATTTCTATTGTTTTTCATTTGAAAAAACAAGGAGCTTGGCCTAAATAGTCTAGACAATAATTTCCAGCAGTACGATTCTCTGATCAATTATCTACAAGTCAACATGCTGGCAGGAGATCTCTTATGCCCTGCAGAGAACAGTATTCTCCAGAGCCTTGTCCAACTACTTGTTCCATTCTGCCACTGAGCAAATTCCTGGGAGGATATATAACAAGCAAATAAATGAGTGCCAGATTTTAAAGTCTAGTTCCATATGCTGCATTCTGTTTCCAGGAATATTTGCTCAATTTTGGTGGAGAAAAAAAAAATCCTTGTGTGCATTTATTTCAGTAGTTTCAGAAGCGGTTTTTTAATAAACATAATCACTACGAAAAAAGCCTAGTTATGAGACTCTAAATAAGGAGTTGAAAAGCATAACCCGTCTACAGACTGTTAGTGAGGGCAAATAAACCTGAAAATGCAACGGTAAGGCCTATCTATTTTCATATATAACTATCCCCTTGCTAAGAACTTCAGTGGAAATAGATTAGCCCTTCTCTGGTTACTGTTCATTCTTCTTTGACTCTGTCCCTTTAACCTGCTGTCACATCCTTAGTTCGAGCTTCACTGGATTTTGCTTGGACTAATGGAAGTTACTCAAGATTTCTGCAGCGTAAGTCTCTCCTCTCTCCAGCCTGTGAGCCACATTCCAACAATCATCTTTCAAAAACAAATCTTTTTCCGTTGTGATCATGTTTGTACAAAGCATGCTTCTGAAACTAAAAAAACACACCAAAAACCTTATCCGTTATCTTCAAAGAAAAAGCTGCTCCTGGATGCTCACGACTAAGAAATCGTCCAAATTCCTTAGCATGCCAGTCAACACCCCTCCCATTCAGACCAGGCTAACTCTCAAGGCGCCGGCTGCCGCTGCTCCTCCCTCCAGCCGCGAGTCACAGAACTTACTCTTTCCCAAACGTCTCATGTTCATTCACTTCTCTCTTTGATTCGCACTTTTCCTAGTGCAGAATAGCATTTCCTCACCTCTCTGCCTACTTCTGCTTCAAGAAGCAGTTCAAACGTTACCTATACTTTGTCTTCCCTTAAAGATCCCTCTCTTCCGCATTCTTGGAACACGCGCTTGACATATTCATCATGTAATATCATAATGCTTTGTTTCCTACCTTTTACCTTCATGACCCTGTGAGTACTCTTCAAGAGTAGGGCCATGCCCCCAACCAGAATAGTGGCTGCTAGTCAAGGGCCACTTGTGGACAAAAGCAACACAGCTAGTGAGTTTTAGATCCTGAAATGGCTTATTTATGACCCAATATGCTGTAGAGCTACATGCCATCTCATGTCAGTTGAAGTACATACAAAGAACATAAGCAGCCTTTAACAGGATCTCAACTGAAGCCTAACGAGAACAGGCAATGGAGAATTTTCACACGGAGGAAGGAAACAAATAAATAATATAGAGTCAAATAGATAGTACTGGACTGGACACACATTGTTCTTCCATCACTAGGAAATATTCAGGACTCTACAGAAGCATACTAGAAGAACTACTTTGATCATTTTGATTCCACTCTTACACAAAACCTTTATTGTCAATTGATGTGTGTACTCTGGGGAGTATAGAGAGGAGCACACCTGGAGAATGACCAGTATCTCAGCGTTGTTTTTTTCCAGGGCTATGTCAAAGGCAGATTTGTCGAATTTGCTGAAAGCATGGACATCAGCTCCATACTTGATAAGCAGCTCTACAACATCTCGATGGTGGTGCTCTGTGGCCCAGTGCAAAGCTGTCATCTTCAACATGTCCTTGGCATTCACATCTGCACCATTCTGTCATAGAAAAAGTAATTTTTCCAATAGACACTGGTTATAGTAGCACAGGTGCAAGATCCCATCACCAAATAGAGATGATTCCCATACTGATTACATATATTCAAATTTAGATCACGTTTACAGAGCATCAAAGGGAAAACATTTCAGAAATTCTCCTGAATACTGACAAACATAATGATTTCAATGAGTGGGTCTTCTAAGGACATCACTGGGAAACGGTGACAGATGGGCGAGCAAGGGGAGAAGAACAGATTTCAGTTGCATTTATTAACAGAGCCGAGTGCCTGATAACACAGGCCTAAGGGCAGAGAACACCGCAGAAAGGGAAGGAGGAAAAACAATAGTCTGGCTACCCTTTAAAAGAGTAGAGCACAAACCCCTCCTGGCCTTGCTGCCTCTGGAGAGAGACACAACTCAATGTTATAAACGGTCCCAACTGAATCCTTCCCAGCCTAGTTCCCACCACTTGTTCAAAGAAGAAAACAGGGAGACACAGGTCTTTTTTCCAGCACGGCCCGCCACGGTGCTTGCTTTACCCTAACAAGCAGTTCCACGATGTGTGTGTGTCCATCAGCTGCAGCCATGTGCAAGGGGGTCCTGTCCACTTTGGTCCGGGCATCCCTGCTAACTCCTGCTCGAAGGAGCACTTCTGCTGTGGAATAATGACCGTACTGGGCGGCAAGGTGGAGGGGTGATGTTCCAAGCTGTGGGAAAATAACACCCACTGACTATCCACTGAGTGCAGAGCCCTGGAGCATTACTGGAGATACACAAATGAATAAGAGTGAAGTCTATGGTTCCCAATTAAAAATATGGAATTTAAAAATTAACTGTACAGTAATGGGCAAATAAGTATACTCCAACTAAATAAACGACAAGTATAAAGGATTTAAATCAGGTGTATTTATCAGATAAGATTCCCTAAAGGACATGCATTTTAAGTAGGATTAGAAAAAGATTTTAAAAAAAGAAAGATTCACAAGAGCAGTCAGTGTCAGGGTAAAGGGAATGGAAGAAGCAAGTTCAATACATTCTTTTACAAAACATTAGAGACCAGAAAGTTACCAATGGAATTTGGAGGTCAAATTTGGTTGGCTGCATAGAGGTTGGTTGCTACAGGAAAGCAAAGTAAACAAGACCAGGGGATGTAGCAATGGCGTCCAAGCGCAGCCAGTCAGCCTGTGCAATCTCAACAGAATCTTTTAACAATGAGCTATGAGCACCCTCGTTGGCCAGAGACCTGTGGGCCTCACTTTGGGCTATGCTTTGGATTGTAAGCCTATGTGGGTTATTCTTTGCTTTTCATATAGTCAGCTTCTCTGCCTGACTGGACTTAATTCACATTGCACGTTTCAGGTCTATTTATAGAAATGCTAATCTCCTGTTTTTCTTTTCTTCCTTTTTCTGAGTGCTAAGAACCTGCTGGCCTCTGACGTTATAAATTAATTACCCCTGAATAGAAAACAGTCTCTCACTGAATTTTAAAAAGTGGTCAATGCTTACAAAATCTGAGCGCCCAGAAAGTCCCTATTATAACGTGCCCCTGATTCCTGACACTGCTCTCCAAACTGCTGTCAAGGTTCATTAAATGACACCTTCTCCTTTAATGTGCCTTAACAAAATGGCTAGACATCTTAAAAGACAAAATCCAAGGAGTTTATTAGTTTGGAAATGCATTTTTAGTGTACTGATTTTGTGGAATTTCCAGCTAATTACAGAAGCCTCCAGCTAATTACAGAAGCCTATAACCCAAAATGTACTCCAGGGTGACTCAAACCTTTAGAAAATACTCTAAAAAGCATTCTAGAGAATCACAAGTCCACAGTGCCTTAAAATCACCTCTCATATATCCATGGGAGACTCCATTTGAAAAGGAAAACAAAAAGAAAGTCAAATAGTCACATGAGACAAAGAAAATAAAACTTGTAAGGGGAATGAGGCTGAGGAGACAAAAAAAACCCCCAAACCTAATAAAGTCTGTTTCGCCTGTAGGAACAAGGCGCAGAAAATCACACTCCGGGAATCATGAGGAGACCTTCCCCTGAGCTTACCCAGTCTGTGGTGAATGGGGCACCATTTGCCATCAACGTTCTCACTTCATCATCTTGGCCTTTTCTTGCTGCTTCTAGCAGCCTCTTTCCCAAGTCCACCAAAGACATCTTTATGCATAGGAACAAAAGTTTCTAGGAAGCTATAACCCAAACACAAGGAAGGCTGTCTATAAAATGTTTTCAGATTTCGTGAGCTTGAATGTATACATAATAAGATACTTCTTAAGCTGACAGGCTGGTAGGCCACGTCCTTTCTACTTCATCTAGATATTTCTTTTTATTATTATTATGCTTTATTTTTAATTATTAAGTACTTTTATTAGGGGCTCTTACATCTCTTATCACAATCCATACATTCATCCATGTGTCAAGCACATTTACTGCCGTCATCATTTTCAAAGCATTCTCTTTCCACTTGAGCCCCTGATATCACCTCCCCATTTCTTCCCCTTCCCTCCCTCACATCTAGATATTTCTACTACAATCAATGTTGGGGAAAGTTTCAGATTCTAAACAATAGTTCTCTCACTTTCTATCTCTAGAAAAATACTTCAAAAATATGTGTCATACACTCTCAAATCAATTCTAATTCTACATTTTACTCTTAAAGATCCACTACTATCAAGTCAATTCCAACTCACAGTAACCCCACATAGGCTTTCTGAGAACATAAGCCTTTCCAGGAACAGACAGCCTCATCTTTCTTCCACAGAGAGGCAGGTGGATTTGAACTGCCAACATTGAGGTTAACAGTCCCATACCTAACCTATAGTGTCATCAGGCTCCTTTTTTAACTGGTTTTTACTCTTAAGGAGTCGTTAAAAACAGCACTTTTTCCCCTTTGACATGTCCCCTGGTAGAATATTACTCAAAGGAAAACAGTACAAAGTAATAAAACATGCATGCCAATCATGCAGAAAAGAATTTCAAGTTTTCATGGAATCTAAACATTTGGGAATCACTGAGTATGAATAAACCAGTGAAAACTCATCCCGAGCTAATTTTTAAGCCTTAAATAGTCAAATGAAAACATTCCCTGACATCTTCTTGAAATCAAACAATAGTTCAGCTTAAGTGGTTAAAAAAAAAAAGTAGTGAAAATGTCTATGTTGAGCTTTTTAACCTTGAGTACAGGCCTTTAAAATGTCCATAATAAAACTGGAAATATACATAAAGAATGTTGATTTTATTTATAGAAAATAGAGGGTTTTCTTGAGGGAAAACACTATGATTAAGTTGCCCAGAACACCATTTTTTACATGAGAGAATGATGAACAGGCAAACCAAAGATACTGAGACTTGGGCATAAGGCAAATATTTTCCTTAGTGATTAAAGTGAGTCTGTCACACTCAGGAAAACAAATGACATTACTTATTGCCATTTATCAATTTTAATTCGAACTCTCAAGCAAAAATTAGAATTTCAGAAAACCTATACTAACTGTGATTTTAACAATAGGAGCCCCAAACCCATCTGCCAATTATCTAGTCAGATTAAGCCGTTGGCAGATCCCCCCTCGCCACGGGCAAAGCTCTGGAACAGTCTTACCATCAAACATAGATCACTGTCATCCTGAATTTTCTGGATCAAACTTGATAGTCAGGTCAATTGACCCCTCCCTCTAGACCCAATCTGCAAGGTGCAAGGGTCTCTTGTTAGTTCCATGACAAAAACTTCTTCCCGGGTTTTTAAATTTTTGTTGTTGTTTTTTTTTCCTTTCTTCTTTGTTTGTATTTTTACCTTTATGTTACTATTGTTTTATCCTTACCACTTCATTTCGTTTCTGTTCTTTATTCTGTTGGGTCTCCCAGTGTGTGAAGCACAGGAGAGGAGCAGAGAGACAAGAACTGATACAAGGGCTTCTAAGGGGTGTAGGTCTGAGGGGTGGGGACATGGGGATGGTGAAGGGACTTGGGGAGTAAGCAATGAAGGTGGGAGGGGGAGTAAGCACTAGGCGATTTAATCATGGGGGGGGGAAGAAAATGTTCTCTAAATGGCTTGTGGTAATGATTGTACAATTCTTCTTGATATGATTGAACTATTGAATTATGTGATATGTAGATTAAGTGCCAATTAAACGGTTAATAAAAATAATAGCATTGTACAAATGTACTTAACACAAAGGATGGATTATGATAAGAGTTGTATGAGCACCCAATAAAATGATTAAATAATAATAAAAATGGCACAGTGAAAATAAATAAAATGTTCCTTTTCCAAGTACATGTCATAACAAATTGGCTGCAGAATATATAAAAGCCCAGCTGTCTACTTAGGGTTTTATAAAAATAGAAAGCAATGCTATTCTCCTAATTTTCAAAGTACATTCATCATAAAAACATGTTATATATCATAGATTCATTATCAGTTACACTGGAGTCCTAACAATGTTCATTTAAGTGTGTAAAGGAGCCCTGAAAGCAGAAAATTTGAGAATTACTAGCTTAAACAAAACTTAACACTTTACAATTTAGATTTTTATCGAAACATAGATTTTTATGCTCAAAGTTGGAGTTCAGGAAATCACAGGGGAAGTAAATATACCTGAGAATCCAGTACAGTCTCATAATTGGTATATTCAGGGGCATAGTGTGAACTTCTTTTGCATGAATTTGTATACACGCCTATCCAAGCGTTAGTTTTTAGAATTCAAGAATATGCCAGACACACAAAAAACTGAAAAACCTTTTAGAACACAGAGACTTCATGTTTTTCCATGGTTAACTTCATTTCAAAATTTCATCTGTTTTAACCTAATTATCCTACTACTAAGAGTTAAAAGGAACCCAAGTGGCATAGTGTGTTACATGTGGGGCTGCTAACCCTAGGTGTTCAGTTCAAAATCACTAGCTGCTCCTTGGGAGAAAGATGAGGCTAACAATTATAGGCTTGGAAACCCAGAGAGACAGTTCTACTCTGTCCTAGAAGGTTGCTACAGTTGAAATTTACTTGATAGCAGTGAGATGTTTTTTAATGGGTAAAAACTAGAACAATTTTCTGATTGGTTAAATAAAAATGACTCCTTCATAGTTCCTCAAAATGCATTATACAAAAGGTATTATCATTCAATAGTAATAATCCGTACAATGAATAATCACAAAAGGAAGGGATATTCTACACAGGGATCCTTAAAAATACTGACGCAAATACTTAACTATCCTAATAATGAAATCCCCCCCCCCTCTCTCACACACACACACACACACACACAATTCAGTTGTTAAGGTATCTCTTTAAATAGAACTCTCATTTGCTTCATGCTCTTGAAAAGTTGTTACTTTTGGGAAACAAGACTTTAAATAAATTGACTTCTACACCATGTAATTGGTGTCTTCAGCACCTGAACTCTTGCAAAAGATTTTTGGTTAATTTTCCCCACTGTATTCAACCTTCATACACGTTTTATTACTTTCCTTTAATCATGTATTTGTGAGCAGTGTACTAGTACCAATGAGTGGTAATCACTTCAAGTTTGCTATACTATTATTTCAATAGCTGACTCACCTCCCACCCTAAGCCTTATTTTCCACTATACAAAGGCACTGTTAAACTCTGGGATGAGAGTGTAAATAAAGAAATATACTCATTTGTTTGATATATGAAAGATGTTCCCCAAATGTGCTCTTCAGGGCTCTTTTTTCCACCCTACCCTCAGTTATTATATTTTAATATATATTTTTTCTTTTGAGTTAGCCCGAAGCAGCCATCTCAAGTTAAAGCAAAACGTTTAAGTAACAGCACTTTGGGGGGGGTGGGGGTAGGCTAGGCTCCTTTCTCCTAGTCTCCCATGCCAGCAGACAAAACCTGTGTAATAGACCAGAGGGACTTCCGAGCTCCCAGATTGCAAACAGGGAGGGGAAGACGTTCTCCTGTGGGCTACTGCACCTTCACTTTCCCTCTATTTAACAGGGAGAAAAACCCCTCCCAAACAAGAACTCACACCAAGTGTGGTTTCAATCATTTATGAAGTGCTTGGGCTCCTGACAACGAAGTACTCTCATCATCACGGTAATTGTTTATATAAGAATTTGGGTGGGGTGTCCTCCAGGGGTGTATGAAAACACATGCTTTAAGAGCATCGCGACTGAACTGGTTGGATCAAAAGGTATGCAGAAAGTCCGGTCCCAAATGGGCAGAAAATGTTGTCAAATGGTTGACGGTAAGCCAAGGAAAACCTCCTTTTCCGTTGGCGTCAAAAAGCGAGAGCGGGACCCTGGAGAGCAGTCCTCCGGGGAAGGAAGGGGCTGATCTCCGCGGGCGCCGCGGGCTCCGGGGAACTCCGGGGAGACTCGGGGAAAGCTAACGGAAAGGAGACTTGGAATCGAAGGATGCGGGGTCCGACCACCAACTCTTTTTGTCCCGGCCGACTTGCACCCGGCCCCGCCGGGCCGCCAGCTGTGCACACGACCGTGTGCCGGGCCGCCAGCTGTGCACACACACCGCTCCCCCGCCGACCAGAAGCAGCCCTCCGGCCCCTCAGCGCCATCACCCGCCTCTGTCCTAAGAGTGTCCGGCCGGGTCCGGAGCGAGGGTCCCCGCGTCGCGGACGCTGCCCGGCCGAGCCGCGCCGCCCCCTAGTGGTCACCTCGGCGGCCCTGGCGCCCCGCGGTCCAGCCGCTCCCCAGCCCCAGGTCTTACACCCACCCCTTCTTCACCTCTTCCCAGTCCCCTCCCCTTCCTCCCGCAAGGATCCCCTTCCTCTGCGTCCCTGCCCCCGGCCGCCCGCGCTGCGGAGAGGGGGCGCCGCGCCGCCGGCACCCAGGAGCCCGGGGTTAGCCGCGAAGGAGTGAGACCGCTCACGGCGCCCTGCCCCCCAGCGCCGACGCCCCCCACGGACCACGCTTCTCATTCCCTCACCTCCGCGTCCGGGGCGCTGCCGGCTGCGTTCCCGCCGAGCCCGCCAGTTTGCTCCCGTTTCCTTCTCCAGTTCAGACCCCCTGTCACCGACGGTTACTTGTTGGCCTTTTCACATAGGCGTCTTTGGGGGGCCTTTAACCCCCCCTCGTGGAGAAATGGACGCAACAAAATGGCAGACCCGGAAGTGGAGGCGCGGCAAGGCCAGTTTCTGGCGGAGGAATCCGTGGAGGGAATTCATTCGAAAGCCCGCGTCTGCGTTCGAGGAGACGGCTGACACACCTCCGAGGTTCATTTCCTGCGGACTGAGGGTCTTTCGAGGGGGAAAGTGCGCATCCGAAAGGGCCTCGCAGCACTCCTTCGGGCGGCGTAGGATTATTTGATGACGTGTCGTGTAGTTCCGGCAGGGGCCGGCCCGGGCGGGTTGGTTTTGGCGCCAAGGACTCGGCGCTGGAGAGCAATGAGCTGCTCCTTGGGTCCTGCGGCCGCTCTCCTTGTGGTCGCGTGTCCGGGAGACCGGTTTTAGAACTGACGGGAGGGCCTTGCCCCATCCCGATCTTGGACAGAGCTGTTTGGGTCGTTCCTGTAGCGTGACTGTCAGGGCCCAGAACCAGTATCGAGGCCAGCGGTGAAAAACCGGAGAACTAATTTTGGGGGGATGGAAAAAGATAAAAGATGGAGCCGCTTTCCCCTTCAAGACGCACAGTCCTTTGGGGGCAGTTCTACCCTGTCATACAGGGTCGCTGAGGGTGAATCAACTCAATGGCAACGGGTTTGATTCCCCTCCCCTCCCTAATAATGAAGGCTACAGTGTGCAAACCAACCAGGTGCCCTGACAAGAGGACAGCCCTGGTTTTGACCGCCAGGGTCAGTTCAAAATTCCGTAAAAATAGACTCCACCACTTAATCTGACTCAGAGGAGGAAGATTTCCCCTTCTCTGAACGTCTCTAGGTCACTGCTAGAGTAATTTTAAGAGTACTTGTGGCATGCTGCTAAGTATCCATATTACTATTTGTCACCCAGAAACGCTGTTGGCCACTCTGTGTTCTTTGCAAAACTGCTGTTCAACATTGTGCCTTTTGGGAAGCAGAAAGCCAGGCTTACTTCCAAGGCCTCTCAGTGGGATTGAACCCCACCAGCCTTTCAGGATTGTTTGCAAGACCCCGGCATTCTCTTGGTGGTAACTTTCCTTTTCAGTTTGAGAGTAGGACTGATTCATTCTGTTGACATCCTTTCATACAGTTTCCTGCTTTTCCTGTAGTCAAAAACCAAAAGGAATAAAAAACGCCAAAACCCACTGCCATCCACAACCCTTCTAAAGGGTTTCTGAAGCTTTGTAAATCCTTTTTTTTTTTCTAAAGTTTCATTTTTGTTCCTCGGAGCATCTGCTGGGTTACAGTGACTCTCCTTGAGTTTAGCAGCTCAGTGATTACCAGGGTTCCTTTTTTTTTTTTTTAAATCATTTTATTGAGGGCTCGTACAACTCTTCTCACAAGCCATATATACACCCATTGTGCCAAGCACATTTGTACATTTGCTGCCATCATTTCAAAACATTTTCTTTCTAGTTGAGCCCTTGATATCAGCTTTTTTCCCCTCCCTCCCTCACGAACCCTTGATAATTTTTAAATTATTTCATGTCTTACACTGACCAATGTCTCCCTTCACCCACTTTTCTCCTATCTATCCCCCTAGGAGGGGGTTATATGTAGATCACTGTGATCAGTTCCCCCACACTCCCCCTACCTTCCCCCTACCCTCCTAGTATCTCTACTCTCATTATTGGCCCTGAGGGATTTATAGGTCTTGAATTCCCTGTGTTTCCAGTTCCTATCTGTACCAGTGTACATCCTCTGGTCTAGCCAGATTTGTAAGGTAGAATTGGGATCATGATAGTGGGGGGGAGGAAGCATTAAAGAAGCGGAGGAAAGTTGTGTTTCATCCATGCTTATGACACATAACTGTAAGCACTCAACCTTACCTGCCCTGAGTGAGCCTGGATAATAGGGCTTATCCTTTAGCAGATCTTCAAACCTTCAGGCAAGATGAGCAATAAGCCAGCTTTGTCTGAAGTGGAGAAGTTTAACAAGTCAAAACTCAAGGAAACAAATACTAAAGAAAAAATACTCTCCCCTGGAAGGAGACTTCAACAGGGGAAAGAATGTGTGCAGTCATCATAAAATGGGGACGTCCTCCTGGGAGCAAATTGCAACATAGCTTGAGTGTTGTCTTAGTTTGATAGGCTTCATTTTGTAAACCTGTTTGTAGAGATTTTAGGAAATTTCTGGTATCTTCTCCATATTCTCTGGCCGAGGGCAGAGGTAGCCAATGAACCATCATCTTTGTTTGAAAATTTCCCCTTGGTGTGTAATCTCACATGACCCATGCTATCCAAGATCCAACATGTAAGAGCTGTGTGTGGGCAGTTGTTGCCTTCCCTACATAATATGCCATTGTCAACCTCCAGCAGGTACCCTCATTACTCAAAAATTTCCATGACATTGCATGCTTTTGCTGCCTCTTACAATTCATTTACATTGCTAATGTAGCAATAAAATAAAAAATATATAATCGTTTAAAAACAACCCCAACTTACTGCCACCAGGCCTAAAGGACTGGGTAGAGCTGCCCCTATGGATTCTTGAGTCATTCTTAGAAAGCCTCATCTCTCTCCCGCTGAGCGGCTGGTGGTTTGGAATTGCTGACCCTGTTGTCGCAGCCCAACCCATAACTATACCCACATGGGCACACAAAATTCCCAAGTTAGGATTAAACATTTTAATTGACATCTGTTATAAAAAAGAAAGTCACTTTTGGGTGAATTATTCTGAGGCATCTAGAATCTATATTTCCAAATGTGGCTGATCATTGGAATTATCTGAGGATCTGGTGAAGCTTCAGATCCCTGGGGTCTATTTGCAAGTTAAAGAATCAGAATCCATAAGGGGGAGAGCTCAGAGAATCTGTATTTTCACCAGATCCCTCCGTGATTCCAATGACTGGCCAGGTTTGGGAGCCTAGGATCTAGATGGAGGTAATGATGAACTGATTGAGAACCACAGGGGCCTCCTAGGCCTGATGAGAACCCTTTTGGTAATCAATTAGCAATCAGAGGGGCCCTTGATGTGGATTTTCCTTTCTAATTTTAAATTGACTTCACCCTCTTTCTTATTCTCTAAGGTAGCCTGAAGTTCACTATTTTTACATTGGTTATTCAAATGATTCTTTACACTGAATATTAAAAAGGTAAAATTATTAGCTGAAAGTGAGTTTCTGAGACCTAGGGTTCTTTCCTGTGAAGAGAGAAAACTAGAATTCAGTTCTGGGATTGAATGTCTTTATTAAACAAATGAGCGAATGGCAGCAATCTCTTTGGGAGGGCTGGAGCACGAGGTCAAAGGTTAGAGTGTGATTGTTTATTTCATGGTCTCAAGGTGGCTGAAGAACTGTTCCTAAGGCCCATTGACCAACAGGAGGGCCCTACTAATACAGGAAACAGCAAATTCTTTGCCTTAAAAAAGGAGTCAAAAATGCTACAGATTATCTTAATAGTACAATTGCATCATACATTTTGAAATCTGGCTTTCCTTGGCTAGATTTTCCCACTCACAGTTTGGAGCACAGTTGTGAAACGAGAAGGCTTGAAGGAGCACACTTTGCTCTTTCCGAAATGATGCCAAGCTTTTCTCTATTTTCCTTTTCTATGATGGATTATCTCCAATTTTTATTACATGTTTATCAAACCCCAATGTAGCTGGGGAAAAGAGTATAAGAATGTGGAGAATCAGAAAAGCAAGTCTTTAACCACCTTGGTGTTTAAGAGATCTTACTGTTCAGTAGCAGATATCCCAAATTACAACTCCCAAGGCTGGGAGTTTATTATCAACCTCTTCCTTGTGTGCTGACTGGAACAGTGTCCTTGGACTGTTTGAACACTCCTTAGGTTGATTAAAATGGAGTGAAATCAGTCCTCCATTTTGAACTACTCTGATCCCTCCCCCCACCCAAATCAGGCTTACTTTCGGGAGTGACTATAGGGGGTGGGGAGGGAGGAAAGGAATCCCTGTGACCCTGCACTACTCCATTGCCACTGCTTCAGTGTTTACTGTGTGGTGTGAAGGCCTTTGAGATAAACAGAGAAGGAAGATAAATAGATGAATAAATACATAAATAAAATTCTGGCAGATTCATGAGCACTACCTCATCACAATGGAGGGGAAAGAGCAAGATTAAAATAGGAAAGGAAGGGGCTGGAAGGGAAAACAATGAGGAGGAGAAGGTGGGAGGAGAGAGGAGTCTTGGCCTTAGAGCAAGTCCAACTCAAAGGAGTGGATGCTGGCGATGGGCGCTCTCCAGAAGTTGAAGGTGCTGTACTCAAGGAGGGCATCGCCATCCGGGTTTTCCTCTCGCTCTGCTCTGGCTGCTTGTCCAGTCGCTTTGCCATCACTGGGGCTCTTGATCTTGTAGGTGGCTGTGTCTGACAGACCCAGGCCTTCCAGCTCCGACAGGTCCAGTTCTGGAATGGGCATCCTCCAGAAGAGAAAGGAGCTGTACTGGCTACTCACAGGCTCCCTCATAGCTGCCTGTGAAAGAAACCACTTGTCAGTTTTCATGCAATCGCAACCGCCTTTTGGCATTTCCTTGCTTATAAACTATTCCTAATCACTTCTGCGCATAACCCAATCCACAACCTTAGGACAGACTTCAGGACCCCCTTCCTCTAAGACCATTTGCTACCCTCTTCCTCACCTTTGGAATGACTTAGTTGTCACCTACTGCATCCAGTCAGTCGAGTTTAGTTTCCAAGGCCCTCCTGGTTGGGCCCTCTTCCTTGCAGTATACAGCTTCTGCCAGCTACATTCATCCATGGCTTACTTAATTCTCTTCTTTTTATCTTAAAATATTACTTTGGTTTCAAGACTCTGTGAAGACCCAGAGGAATCTTTCCTACTAGATGTATACATATTTGACTCTTCCTGCCTTGGCCTAATAGGTCGATACCTCTGAAGAGATTTTTCATGACATTTCTGCTTTTTTTCCCCCTACCTTCTAAACCCTACTGTAAACGGACCTATTCATGGATGATGTATTTAAACTCTCAGTTCTACCTCCCCTGTTTTCTTCTGCATCCCCCCAACACTCCTGTAGAGGTTTACCCTGTCTATATCTGGGTGGGGGTTACAGGTGATGGTCGTGGTGTGTGTGTGTGTGTGTGTGTGTGTGTGTGTGTGTGTGTGTGTCTGGATGCCATCTACAGACTGGGAATTTCTCAGTCAGTCCCCCACTGCTGACTTTGAACTCTTTCCATAAGTGCTGAATTATGCACTCCAGTGACACTCAAGGCTGCTGACTAATTGTCCGTCACTATTTACTTTGTACAATGAACACCTTGCACTCCATCTAATGCCCACAGATAGCCTAACAGATTGTCTCTCCCGTGACTACTGCTCCTGCAGAGCAAAACCCAGGTTCAAAACTGTCCTGGGCTATAGCAGGGTCCTGAGTCTCTGCAAAAATATATCTGATAGTAGCGCGAGCAAAGGGATTGGAAATGCCAGGTAAAAAAGGCAAATTTTAGATCAAAAGGGGGAAAAGTCTCAACAGAATCAGGTACTTTCCCACAATCATTTTAATGATTAATTCTATTACCTGTTCTGCTCAACTCACCCACACCCTGATCTCACATAGCTATTATATTTCCCTGTAGCCCCCATCTCCTTGCTTACCAGTCAAAGGAAGGAGCAAGGAGCATTAGTTGAAAGGCTCCCAAAGAGCAGAAAGAACACTGCCCTGATTCCAAATATAAAACCCCAGGCTTCAACACACCCCACTGGCTCTCAGAATGAATGAGAGCCCTACATAGTGGTCTTAAATAGGCTTCAAAATGCCCCTATGTAAGGAGAAATGTCACTATTGAGGCAAAAATCAGACAAACAAAACCCCCCACCTTCATCGAGAACAGTGTTAGGCTTTCAGAGTGCAAGGACTTCAGGCGTGGGGAGAATAACGACGTTTTTCAGATGAAGAGTGATTTCTAAGTTGTTCAAGCTACTAAACAAAAACCCTGGGAAGGGAACATTACTCAGCAGAGTAGCTGCTTGGAAGGAGGGTGATGCAGGGAGGGGAGCATGTTGGAAAGAAAAATGATCTCATCATCCTATGATAGGATCATCTCCCAGCCATTTACAGAGACATGTGCACGGAAAGATAACAGAAAATGGCTGTAGCTATTAATCTCTGCTTAGGCTACTAGTTTAGGCTATAGGAACCCTAAGTAGCAAACCCAGGAGTCAGAAGCATACTTCTGCCTATGGCTTTTTCTTTCTTTCTTAGAATAGCACCAGCATTTTCTTAGCCAGCTGGCTTCTTTATAGCCCCTTACTGAAAAGTTCTTAGAGCAAGGTTAGCATAATACTGGCTAAAAGAACGACTCCTAGTGAGGAGGGGAACCTATAGCATTTTAAAAGTAGAAGCCACCTTAGAAATTACCTAGTGGCTTATGAAACCTTCCAGCCAGTTTGGATAGAACTCCACCGGTGTCTTATAATTTCCAATCGGGTCCCCTTTCAATAGGCTGTACATAGATACTGCCCAAACAATCCTTGAGCGTGTCTGGAAGAGTTTAACTTGCAATTAAAGTAAAGGGAAGTTTTACAAAATGCTATGGCCCTAAAATCTCATGCCATTAGCCTAGAGATACGTATAGAGTAGCAAATGCATTCTAGAAGACATTTCAATGAGCAGATGTGCATTTAAAATTAAGTCAGGAATGTAAGGTAAGGGCCACAGCTTAACCCCACTGACCCCGTATCAATGGCAGCTCATTGTGACCCTATAGGACAGGGTAGAACTGCCCTTCTGGGTTTCCGGGACTGTATGAGACAGTTTCAGCTTTCTCTTGAGCAGTGGCTGGTTGTGAACTGCTGACCTTGCAGGTTAGCAGCCACAGCTGAGGGAGGCTAAAATTCCCTTTAGTATTGAAGTTCTGATTTAATGTAATGTGTTTTTCATTTCCAATTCCCCCAAATTTTACCAAAGATCTCTTTTCAACTAGCTTTCCCTCCTCCCTGAATGCTCTCTACCCAGACCTGATGGTGGTATGGGCACTGCCTAACATCATTCACTTCACTTACTGGGCTCACACAGTCCCCTGCACTACAATGTATCCTCATGATCCTTCATTTAAAATTATCCAGATATTTTAGGCAAAGGTCATTTCTAAATATACCCCTCTATATTTTTAGGTACACGATGAGAGCATATACATGTTAAAAAGACACACCCTCTCTGAGCCACAGAACTATACTGGAAGAGCCTTTGTCCTGAGCCTCTGTGGGTCTGGTGGACACAGGCCGTGCTGTGTCATACTGCCAAGGTGCTGGCCTGCCGGGGTGGCTGGGTGAGGGCTGGGAAAAGGAATGGAAGCGCTCCCGCGGGATGGATTCTCATCTTACATGCCTCGCCCTATTGGCCATGTCCTTCTCCCACCTATTTCACTGGACTGCAATAAACACACACAAAAACCCCCAAAACATTCCTTTTCAGAAGACTGCCTCCATCCCTAGCACACAGGATTATACTGATTGATTTCAATATGGAATCAGGCAGCTTCTCCCCCCCAGGAGAGCTCCCCTCCCCCGCCTCACCTACCCCCAGCTACCTCTTTGGAGCAAAGGTGTGAGATGGCGTGGCGACCACTGACATTACCCAAAATATCGTACATACCATATCCCTCACTCCTTCCTTTCCTTCTAGGGACACAAATTAAGTTTGGGCGTGAGGGTAGTGACATCGATGAAGCATGGAGGAGAAAAAATTGGAAATGTATCCTAGGAAGGATACAGCAGGAATAAAGATTCGTCAAAACCCTAGTAGATCAAATTATGATAAGTTAAAATGAAAAATGTAATTAACTAGGTTAGAGATTAAAATATACAGGACAATGAAATAGCTCTTTGGACGAAGGAGGTAAATGCTCAGAGGTGCTATCTACACATCCAGGGTTAGAAATGTCTATGTAGAAGACAGCAAGGCAAGGATGGAGATGTGGAGATGTAAGGCGGTGATCAAAGAACTATTACCCATTGTTCAGAGCGCCCCCTTCTCCTATCTTGAACTGTTGTCCCCCACCCTCATCCTTATTTGGGGTTCTCAACCTAACCATAGGAAGCTGCTCTTGCATCTTAGCAAGCCCCCTCCCCTCGGGTTGGTTTACCTGTTAGCAATTAATCACTAGCGTGTGCCAAAGGTAGAGGGCCTGCAGCTGGGGCTCCGGGATCAGCTCTGGGCTGGAGGAAAAGGAGGCTGTTGGGCTTTGATGGCTTCGTCTTCTCACTCTCGCTCTTCAATGACCGAGTCTGCCTGCTCAGCCTCCCCCTGCAATGCAGCCCCTCCTAAGAAGGGCGGAAGGACTCCCCGCCCCCGCCTCCTCCCTGCCTGACTCGGCTAATTCAAACGGTAGGTTGCCGAGCCCTTTAGAGGAGGACGCGGATTGACGCATCGAACAATGAAAAATGATTCCCGATCTCTCCTAGCGCCCTCATGCTGGGGGGGGGGGCAATGAATGAGCAATTAGTTGTCTTGTGCTTTAGTGGTCGGCTTATGGATGAAGACAGCTTAATTTTGCAGACAATGAAAAGGAGTGTCGTTTGCCCCAAATTAAAGATTTCAGATGATGAGGTATTTGGACAATCAGAAAAAATCTTCACGGGTCTCTAGCCCCGAGAATAAATCAATCTAGCCCCGTCCCGACTGGGCGGAGACGGGCTGTGTCCACCTCTCGGTGGGGTCGGGGTATTGGGCGCTCCGCTCGGTTTTGCGCCCCCGGGTCCGTGGCACGTAAAGGGAGAGTGCGATTATCGGGCGCCCGGTTCGAGGCGTCCACCACTTCCAGCTCGCCCGTCCAGCGGCGGCCCGGGGAAGCTCGGGGGGCGCCCTCCCAGCCCCGCGCCCCGCGGGGAGGAGCCGTGCGCCCGGCGCGGAGCTGCGCGGGTTTCGTAATCGCGTCGCGGCCGTTTCCGCCCTCCGCCGGCCCCACCTCTGCCGCCGGCCCGCCCTCCGCTCCCCCGCGCGCCGGAGAGCCAGCCGGGATCCCCACGCAGGCCGGCGCGGCGCCGAGCCCCCCGCTGCAGCGCGACGCCCTGGGGCCGGAGACCAGGTGAGACGGCCGGCCGAGCTGGACCCCGGCCCCGCCGCCACGCCCGGCCCGGCCGGGCGGAGACGCACCGGATGCGGGGGTGGGGGTGGGAGGGTGGCCGCGGCCGGGGCTTTGCCTGGGGGATGCCGGTTCGTGGGAACCGGGGTGCCGCGGTCCGAGAAAGAAGGGGCTGGGGGAGAGGGCAGGTTGGAAAGGTGTCCCCTGAGCCTCCCCAAACCCAACCCGAGGCGGCGCGTGCCGGACGCGGCGAGCGGAGCGGGGTCCCGGAGCCGTCCGGGCGGAGTTGGAGGTTGGGCGGAGCAGAGATTGTCTGGGTAGAGATGGCGGGGCAGAGACAAATGGAGGCTATGTGACCGAAACATCCTGGGGTGGCGGAGCTCACGAGCGCTCGGGTGTGCTTCCCCTAAGGGCCCCACAAGACCTTTCCTGGGGGAAAGGGCGAGCTTGGTGCTGGGGCAGATGCCGGTCACTGCTGGACGTGGGGTCCAGCCGGACCACCTTCCGATTCCCAGTAGCCCGCCCTGTCTCGAGGGGCATGTCACGGGAGACCAGCTGCAACCCTGGGCTCGTAGCCAGAAAGGCCCACTGCATTCTCTCACTCGTTCTCCCACCTCTTCTCTCTCTCTCTCTCTCTCTCCCTCTCTCTCTCTCTCCAGCTGCTTCTTGTGAAGGCTTGTCAGGCAGCGGGCTGGAGGCCTTGGGGCGGGAGGCCGCGGGGACCGGGCGAACCGGTTTGGGACTAGAACCGGACCTGGGACTACCCCTCGCCATCCCTCCTTCCGGGAGCCCTTCCTCACATCTTGGGGCCCGGGGGCGCACTTCCTTGGGAGTCTGGCTTTCCTAAAAGTCCGCCTGGCCACCTCATTTCCATCTTCTCACACAGGAGGAGGAACTGCCTTGGGCTGGGCGCCAGGGCTTGAGCGTTGTGACCTTGGTGGCGGCGGGGTGTTATTTCCCAGCTCTCTGCCACTCGTCTTCCGAGTTGGGACTCGGGGAAGCCAAGTTCGCAGCCCAGCGTGGTTGACAGGAGGCGGCCCTCTGTGGTCGTCGTCCTGGTTCACCAGCCCAGACTTCATTTTTACTCAGACCGCTCGTAGCCGGCCGCTCCAAAGGAGTGTGGCCAGTAGCTCTTACTTCCTTTTTAGCCTTGTTTCCCTCCCCGCCCCGCCCCCCATCCACCTTCACCCTGCCTAGGTTTCTCCGCACTCCTACCCCACCCCCAAGTTTCAGGGACCCTGATGTCCCGGGGAATGGAATTTCCTGGTCACGGCTCCGCATCATTGGTCATTTCATGCCAAGTCCCACATACACACTTTCCCTCCACCCAGCTCTGGCCGGATCCCTGAGAAAGGAACAGAAAAGTCCTTGTTCCCTCCGCTGCCCCTTTCCCTCTCTCTTTCCCCTCCCCCTCTCCACTCCCATCCCCTCCCAGCACCATCCGTGTCTGTCTGCTCAGCTCTGAACAGTGTGTGCGTGCGTGTGTGTTGGGGGGGAGTGTTGGGGAAAGTCTAGTCTCATTATAGTCTGTGGGGGGGGAGGGTGCTTCCTCTAATTCTTTATTGTTTTCTCCATTGCCCCCGCTCCAACCTTTACCACCCGCTGCTGCTGCTACCACCACCACCACCATCATGACAAACCGTGTGACTGAGTGACACCCCATCCCCACCCCCCACTGACCACAGCTCCCCTCTGCACAGCTGGGTTCGGACTTCCGCCTTCTGGTTGCCCCTCCTCTGCCGCTGGAGGAAGGGAAGTAAGAGAAACTCAGCCTCCAGTCCTTCCCTGCCTCAGAAGTTGAGCCTCAGCCTTCATGGCGCCTCAGCCTTTAACGCTTCTCTCTCAGCTCAGTTGAGGATGCCGGAGGACCAGAAAAGAAGGTGCCTCTTCGTGCTCCCAGGGAAGGTGCCTTGTGTGATCTATTTGAGGTTGCCTGTACCTTAAGACTGGGGAAATGGAGTGACTCTGGATCCAGGAAGCCCAGGTGGTTGGCCATACGGAAGGGGAGGTGTGTCTTTGTTGGCTATTCTCTTGGGATTGGAAAGTTCACAGTGCCTGGTTGACTGGTGAAGGTGGGGGGTGGAAGTGCTGGAGAGGGAGGCCAGAACAGGTCACAGCATGAGAGGAGAAGGGAGGGTGGCCGAGCTATGAGGCAGAGCAGATCAGGACACGATGGGACATGTGAACCAGGGTGGGGAGACCTGGGCAAGATGCCTCATGGGACAGGGGATACCTGGCACATGAACCTACAACGTACCCCAGATGATGGGAAACAGGGCCATCCCACGTCTGTGCAGCGGTGTACATGCAGAAGTACAGTGATACCAGATGCCCATACACAGCACCCTCACCAAGACTCTCAAGGTCATGTAATAAAGAAACGGCTCACTGGCTTCTGGGAGGGGACTAAGGAGGAACAAAGGCAGTGAACTGAAAGGGCAGAAATTCCTCCCTAGACAGGCTTTCCTGAAGGCCAGTCGGCTGTATCATTAGTCTCCTAGGACAGACGTGGCCAGCCGAGACCTCGCTTGCTCTTTAAGATCTAGGTGTTCACAGCAAGACTAGGCTAAAGGAAGGGGCGGGTGGAGGCCTTGTTTGTGAAAATGAAAAACCACCATTTCCTCTTTGGAGTCACTTTAAATGCCCCTCCCCTCCTACCCTAAACCCAGCGCTAGAGTGTGTAGCAGCTGTGCAGTTGACTTATTCTTGCCACCATGCTTTGGCCCCTTCAGCCCCCTTCCCCTCCTGCCTGGGCTCTGTAACCCCTTGGTGTCTTTGTGGGTCTGTTCTTTCTTTGCGAGTCGAACTGTGAGATCCTTATGTCTGGAGAGGGTTAGTCCTGGGGTACAGGGCTAGGACCTGTCAGGGCGAATTGGGGAGCTGTGGACATCACTCGGGGGTTTTCAGAGAGGGTAGAGCGCAGTCATTCACCTCCTCTCTCTGGGCTTTCCTAATTCAGGGTTCCAAGTCTGAGGAAGACAGCCTTGTGCCCAACTGCTCTGACCTGGTTCGTCTCAGGTCTGAGACGACAGCCTTCTCAGATCATCTGCAGGTCCCAAGGACTCCACTTGTTCCAGGGCGGCCCAGCTGAGTGACCCCAGGCTGAGGTGACCCTGAGGGGAGTGACGAGTGGGCAGCCAACGCACCTGAGCTAGAGCCCTGTGGGGCCTCAGGCAGAGGCGTGAAACTGGACCCATCCGGGAACATGAGTGAATTCTGGCACAAACTGGGCTGCTGTGTGGTAGAGAAACCCCAACCGGTGAGTCTTCGTCATCCCCCCCCCCCCTCCTTTACCACCGAAATCAGTTACCGTATACTGTGAAGTAGACACACCATGTAGGATCTGCCCTCCAGAAAGCACACTCCTTGCGTCCTACTTTGCTGGGATAGTTGCTAAGACCAGACTGGTGTTCAAGTCAAATCAAGGGGACCGGGTGATGGGAAGTTAACAGTTGTCACTGTTGTCCCCTCTTCTCATCTGCTCTGAGTTGGGTGGGAGTTGGTGCCTGTCAGCTTTGCCCATTGTTTCCTCATCAGCCAGAGGTGACCTTACTTGTCCTTTCACTGTCCAGTCTGCCCTCTGAAGGCCACTGCCCTCCCTGTGCCGGGCCACATTCTCTGTGACTGTGCTCTGGCTTGACATTTCACGCTCGTGAACACGCTGCTGTAACACCACATTCCCGTTACCACCAGCCCAGGACTGAGCTCTCCCCCAGTGCCTTTCAAGATGCTCTTCCCCTTCTTCTGTGTGATTGGAGGAGGGATTTCAGACACGACTCCCTTATTTTCTTCAAACAGAAAAAGAAGAGGAGACGGATTGACCGAACTATGATTGGGGAACCGATGAATTTTGTCCACCTGACTCACATTGGCTCTGGGGAGATGGGAGCTGGAGATGGACTTGCCATGGTAACAAGGGAAGGGCTGGCATGGAGGCTCGTGGTCTGTGGTGTAGAACTGTGCAGAACTGTTCTCCTTTTTGAAAGGCCAGGCGGGGGGCAGAAGACAATGGAGAAGCAAGAACCTGGAATCCTAGCCCAGGTTACTAGCTCTCTCCCTTCAGTCATCTGGGCCTGGGTTCCCTTAGATTACTCTTCAATGGGGTGTTGGAAGGCTTTACCTAAAAGCCATAATCCTCTCTCCTCCTAATTAAGAACTACTATCAGTGCCCTGGTGGCATATTGGTTACGAGTTGGGCTGCTAACGGAGAGGTCAGCAGTTCGAAACCGCCAGCTTCTGAGCAGGAGTAAGACAGGGCTCTCTGCTCCCATAAAGTATTCTAGTCTTGGAAACCCACAGGGGCAGTTCTACCCTGTCCTATAGGGTTGCCATGAGTCAGGTATTTCTAAATGCATCTCTACTCTGAAGGTAAATCAGAATGAAGCGGAGATATTGGTACCGTATTGAAAGCTCAGTTAAATATGCAGCAGGCCTTTTGTAAGGGGAATCTTAATAACCGAAGAAGGGCCAGTGTGTGAAGGGAGACACTGAGACTTCCCTGGGAGGCATGGTCTTTAGTTTTCAGCTTTTCAGAATGATGCAGTTGGGGCTGGCCCCTTTCCTGGAGGGTACTGGGAGGCCTCTTCCTGTGGGACATGGGGTGTAAAGTCTCACGTGCTTTTTCACAGACAGGTGCCGTTCAGGAGCAAATGAGATCCAAGGGAAACCGAGACAGGCCGTGGAGCAATTCAAGGGGCTTGTAGCTCCAATAGAAAAGGTGAGTGATTAGAGGAAAACTCACTCAATACCTCCAGCCCCTAAGCCCCTCTGGGTGCTAGAATGGCAAAGGAAGTGGAAGAGAGAATTTGAGTGGAGAATGTTAAAAATGTAGCATCCAGAAAGGCAGAGGAGAGAAAAGGGGGAGTGGTGCAGGTAGATAGACAAGAACTGGCTGTGGAAATGGTTAAGCAGACCATGCAGTGTTTCACTCTGTTGTGCTCAGCTCACTATGGGTCAGGGCCCACCCTATGGCACTTAAAACTAGGTGATACTTTCTCTCTAAGACCTCAAGAAGCTTATATTTTTCTTTTTCTCTTTTTAATCCAGGTTCTGCCATCTTGAACCCCCTCCCTCACACCTGTGTCCAGCCCAGGAGATAGGCTGTCCTCTCCAGATCCCTCTTAAAAGCAGTAGCCCCAGGACCCCTCTTTTCTATGTCTGTTGTCTTCACAGTGCCTCAGAAGACTTGGGGGCTGGACTCCCTCAACTCCCTCTGGCGATCGCCCCTCCTGGAGATGGGGTCAAGGCAGCAGGACTGACCAAATGACTACTGTTGGCCCGAGAAGCTCAGCTCAAGTCCGGGACACTCTCAGATCTGAGATAGGAGTTCTCTTCTCCTGAATGATGGTCTGGGGGCCAGCTGTTTTTAAACGCTTAACCTGGAACTCCTTAAATGGGGTGGAGGTGGGTGGGTGAGACTACTACTACCAAAGCTGAAGCTGGCTTTGCTGAGAAGCGCCCCACCACCTGCTCGTCCTCTCTCGCCTCCTCCAATGAACGGAAACAGATACCAGGCAGAGGCTGAGAGGGGGACCACTGTAAAATCCACACCTTTTCTTTAGCTGTCAGACCTTAACCAGTGTCTCCCTGCCTCACTCTCTCTCTGCCAGTACCAGCGTCTTTCTCTAGTTCCCCCTCTAGCCTTGTATTTTTGTAGCATTACTATAACACCTCAGCAACTTTCCTACTTTTCAATTAGGGAATTAATTTAAGATGTGTTTTCTTAATTCGCCCATGCTACTACTACCTCTGTCCTTAGCCCAAACTGTTAGGAGCCTTCATTTCTCATTGAATAAGAGTTAGAGAGGTGGGTCTTAGTCTGGCAACATTCCTTTCACCCATTCAAGTCCTGGGGACCCGTGTCTTACCGTCTGCTAACCTCCCTGCTGGCCCAGGTGAGGTGAAAAGGAGGCTGGAGAGCAACCCAGAATTCAACAAAACTAGGCATTCTATCTCAGGGGTGATCAGCAGGTTGAACACACAGACCTATGAGTTGAGGTGTCTGCAGATCCTCATCAGGGGAGAGACTCTTGAGTCTAGAACAATTCTACTCTTTTCTGGGCACTTCGGATGTTTGGGGCTTGGTAATTCATTGTAGTGTCCTCTGTCCTGTGCGTGGTCCACCCTCATGTGACAGCCAAAAATGCCTTCCAAAAAAGTGCCCCTAGGTGAGAATTAACAGCTCTAGAGTCACTGTTTTTTTAAGTCATATCCACTCCCTTATCCATCCTAAGGCTGAGCCATGGACTAGCTAAGACCTCTTAGAAAGCAGGACCTACAGTGCTGCACTTATCTTCAAAGGGTGTTTTAATGTTAACATGGTGTGTTACATGTTCTTGTATGGGTTCGAGTCTCGGTCATGCTACACTCTTGCTCGCTGGAGGATGGGCGCCAGGAGTATGGAGAGACAAGATATGGCAGGAATTGGCAGAGGGCAGAAGAAAAAAGCAATAGTGCTAGACACATCCCCCTTTATCCTCCCCAAATTTATGCTCTATTTCTGTGCCCTAGTCCTAGAACCAGACTCAGGGAGTTTTGTATGAAAATCAGGTCCCACTGCCCACACTGAAGAGCCTACTTTCGGTGGGAAAGCCATGTAGAATCGGGGTCTTAGATTTTTTTTTTTCTAGGTGTCCTATGTGCTAGCTTCTGCCTTGCAGGGTAATTAGGAAGGCAGGCAGAGCAAGATAAATGAGCAGTTTCCTGAGGCAAGGTGGGTCTCGGATTACCCTTGTGATAGGAAACATCCTGTTTTGTAGGCGTGGGGGTCAGGAATGTGGGAACAGGAGTCCACTTTACTGATTGTCTCCACCTTCTGTGATTGAGGTTTTTAACTTTTGCAAATTTCAGTGTATTTCCTGTCATTTTGTCTAACATTGGTGATGAACATTCCCAGTTTACTCTCAAATCCAGTCAAGATCATTGCTCTCAAAGTAGCCCATCTTGTTACCCTACACTGGTCAATGGCTCGAGCGGTCTACGAAGGGCAGGGTGTACCCTCCGCGCCTCTGCTCAGTGGGAACGTCAACCTCATTCCAGTAGCTGTTCTTTGGACTCGGCTCTGTCCTGTGCGCGCTCTTGCCTATAGCCACCTTCTCCGATGTGTATGCCACCATCACTGCAACAATTCCTAGGTGATGGGAATGGGTTTGAGTCATAATTTATATGAAAAATCGTTGGACTTTTAAGTAATTTTTCAAATAAAAGGATTTTTAAGCAAAAGAGATACAGAGTAATCACTATAGATGTCTGTGGGGTGAATGAGTAGATAGAATTCCTTGCAAACAGTGGAGATGGAATTGAGTACCAACACCGCCTTGCCTGAGGAGGGTCAAACATTGGGAAGGCAAGGAGGTTCCTATATGCTGTTCTTAGTATTTTTCTGAGATTTGAAAAATCTTTACAGAGAAGGACTTGTTTAAAAACTGGAACTATGGGAAATGGCCAAAATCACGTTGTCCTAGGGAAGAGGGCAGGGACCACATCAGATGTTGCTAGCTACCTGCTTTAGGTTTTTTTGGGGGGGGGTCTCTGCCTTCAGACACCTCTGTAAAAAAAAACAAGCACAAGACTCAACCATGCTTTTTTCAGTTTTGTTTTTCTGTATTAAAAATATCCAGTGGACTCCAAGGGGGAGGAGAGGAGATGCTGATGCCTCCTCTTCCTGTGGATAAAGTGGCCTTTACCTGCGGTTCCGCTCTGACTGTGAAAGGAAAGTGAAGGGCAGTTAAAACCATAGCAACATTCTTGTTTCCTTGCTTCACCCTCTCCCACATGCCCCGATTCCTTCAGCCCTACTTTCCCCATTTGGACCCCAAAGACCAAGGGAAGCCAGCAAAACCACCTCATGTAGCCCCATTTTATTCTTTGCTTTCCCCAAAGGTCCTGCTGTTCGAGCCAATAGAGACAACTTTATCAGGTCAAGCGGAACCACTGGTAGCACTCTTGGAGACAACTGTCCATCCCTGAGGCTTACTGGGGAGAGTCCAGGGAGAGTGATTTGGGAAGCGAAGAGTGGTGGCAAAGGCATGGGCTTTGGTGTTGAGCCTGGGTTTGAGTCCCAGCTATGGCTGTGCCACTTACTAGCTTTGTAACTGGCCCTTGAAAGTGCAGTTCTATTCTGTAAAGTAGGGATGGTAATACTCATCAGTGATGAGGATCAAGCCAGGGAAAGTACCCCTAGCAAGACCTCAAATACTGGCCGCGGTCACCGTCCAACTGCATAGCCTAGCTGAAAACTGCTAGCAGATGAACACATCCTTTCATAGCCATTAAGTATTAAGAAGGCTATATATCTTCAACCTTAACGATTTGGTCAGTACTCATCTAATGACCAATCCACATTGCTTAGCCAACCATTCAACCAGTAGTAGTAGAAGAGAATAGTATGGAATGGTCAACAGTAACGTGAATAACAAATGCATTCATGAATCACTAGTGGCACTGTGGCCAGGACGTTGGGTTGCTAACTACAAGGTTCCACTGATCAAACCAGCCCATGAGACTGCTCCCATAAAGATTTACTGTCTCAGAAATCCTGTGAGTCAGAATCGGCTTGATGGCAGCGGGGTGGTTTTGGCTTAACCAGATATACTGCAAAGAAAGCACACTGGCTGGCAAGAAGGGCTTTTCAGATCCATCAACGAACACTTACTGGTTGCATCTCCGTGAAGACGGAAGACAGGCTGTTCCAAATATCCTCAAGCCCCATCCTGACTCGTTTCCAGAAAGCAAGAGCAGGGCTGGGGCTGGGGCTGGGGCTGGGGCTGGGGGTGGGGCTGGAAGAGGGAAAGTGGCTCGTGGGTATCTCCCTGTTACTGGCCTGAGAAGTGCAGTCCTCACAGAACTTGTTGTCCAGGGGGCACTCTTCCCGAGCCCTGTTGCAGGGGCACTGCTGGTAGGTACAAGGCCGGTGCTCCGTGCGGAGTTGGCTAAGTGCCCCGGCACGAAGGCGTCCCGCCAGCCCGTGTAGCTTCCCGGCCCGGCTCCGGCTCATGGTGCCCGACTTGCAGTGGCAGTGCCACGGGCCCCAGGGCATGAGCACCAGCTGCAGATCTTCTGCTGGCGGCATGGCTGTGTAAGTGGGGGGCGGCCACTGGCTCGGGGTGGACCCAGGTGTCGACCACTGGTTCAGATTGATCTCGGAGCCCGGCTGCTCCCCCGTCGACCTCAAGGTGGAGGGCCCCAGGCTTGTCGTCAACCTGATTTCCCGGTCCTGTGAATTCGCTGGAAATCTTGTGCTGGAGGCCGTACTGGAACTTTCCATGTTGCCATTCCTTCTGGTGTTAATCAGAACTTCGTTTTCCAGCACCCCTTCCTCCTCCCCGGACCCGCGGGGGTGGCTGATGCCCGTGGCCACCGAAGAAGCCAAGAGCTCGGAGGCGGCCGGACCAGCCAGGTGGTCGGCGGTGGCTATGGCGTCGTCCTCATCTTCCAGGGTTACCTTCATCTTCCGGGGTCTGTTGGTCCGGCCAGAGGTCTGGTAGCTGCTGGCCATGGGGCTCCCGAGGCGGGTACTGCTCCGCTGCAGCGCCTTCAAGGAAGACTGGGTCTGGTCTTGGGCCCCCGCCGCCCGGGCCCCCAGACTCAGCAGCACAGCCCAGAGCAGCGCGCCGGCGGCGGCGGGGGCCATGGGGCTGGGAGGCGTAGGGTTGGGAGGGAGGCCAGTGAGGAGGCCCGGCTCCTATCTTTTCAGGCTCCTGTCCACTCTCGACCCGTTTGAATCGAGGCCCGCGGGCCGGGGGAGGGGCGTCCCACGCACGCACGCACGCGCCCTCCTTCCTCCCCCTCCCCCCGCCTATTCGCCCCCCTGCCCCGTCTTGGCTGAAATCCCGGGGATTTCAGGTGCGGGAACGTGAGTCGGTGGTGGTGTAAGGGGTTAGAGACAGAGTCGTTCACTTGTAGCCGCGGAACTCCAGTCTCCCATGGCAGTTTATTGAAACGCTACACGTTTGAATATACCAACAAGGGCAAACATACACACACGAAAGCCCTCCTCCCAGGCTCCCAGGCGGCAGAAGGGCCTACGAAGGAAAGCAGCGTGGCATAGATTTAGGGAGCACAGCTCGGGGTCAATACTGAGACCTGATCTGTTGCTGGCTGCAGTCAGTTAAGCCTTACTCCATCTCTCCCTTTGCAAGCGTCCCCTCCACCTCTCCCCCCGCCCCGCCCCCACACACCACCAGTTACTCCAATGGCCAAGGTGGAAGAGTGCTCAGCCCCTTCCTCTACAGGAGGAAAACGAGATCCGAAGAGTTCCTTGGCCCATGTTTCTACAGCGAACGCAGAGCTCCACACTTTCCCAGAATGCGTTGTGTTATTACCCTCACTGCACTATGCCCAACAGATTGAGGTGCCAGGCCTCCAAGCCCTGCTGCAGGCCCGGTCATGGCAGGGGTGGCAACGACACCCCATGGAGATGTGAAGATCCAGCAGCACGGAGGTTGAGGGTGAGATGATTTACAAAGCTGCTCTGATGTTTGAGGTGTGGATCAACATCTTCACCCTCCATCCGGTCGTGTGCTAGCTCCTTCCTGGGCCACAGAGCTCTTGGTCCAGCCTAAGACAGAATAAGAGAAGTGATTTGAGGCAATGGCCTGGGTCTGACGGGTTTTCCAGAGAGAAGCCAGGCAGACTGGAAGAGCTAGAAGACTGCGTCCTTGAGTCATCACTTAGGATCCATTGCTCCCTGACCCTCTTCTCGCAGCAAACACACTGCTGTTCACTGCAGTTGCCAGGAGCCCTGGTGGTGAAGTGGATTATGGTGGGGCTGCTAAGCACAAAGTCATCAGTTTGAAACTACCAGATGCTCCAGGGGAGGAAGATGAAGCTTTCTACTCCTGTAAAGAGTGAGTCTCAGAAACCCACAAGGACAGCAGTGAGAGGTTTGGTTTTTTTTTCCAGTTACTGCATTGAAGTAAGCAGTTCAAATCCACCAGCTGCTCTGCCGGAGAGAGATAAGGCTATTTGCTCCTATAAAGATTTACAGTCTCAGAAACACTAAGGAGCAGTTCTTCTGCGACCTATAGCCTCTCTATGAGTCAGAATTGACTCAACCTTATGTGCTTCCAGTATTGTTTCCTAATTTCTAGGACTGGTCTGAATCTCCTCTAAATGCCTGTGTGGTGAATCACTCCTTTATTCCTTGCTGCCACAGCATTTAGATGAGGCGGTTTCAAAAAGCTCATGAAAAAGTGGAATTAAAAGATAATGGGATTTTAAAAAGATAATGGATTTTTCCCACGAACTTTTTCAAACCTCCTCTTCCGTACAAGTGTTAAAATTTGTTCTTGTTAAGTGCAGTGGTGGTGTCTTTCAATTCTTCTGTTGGCGTGGCGTTGCCCCCAGATACACTGGAGCATCTAGAAGCAGGGTGTCTTCCATCTTTGGCATGGAGACAGTACAAGCTGGCTTCCCCCCCCCCCCCGCCCAGACCTTCCCCTGAGCTCAGCACTCACTGTCTGACAGCTTCAGGGATGTGGAGCTGATCCAGGGAGATGAGCTGGGCCAGAGCCCCCAGACTGTCCAAGAACCGGATTTTTCGTGAGAATTTGGAACTGAAAAGAGAGACTCAAGTAAGTTCTGTACTGAAAAGAGGCCTCCAGCAGATGTTTATGAAGAGAAACATCAGGAGCTGAGAGGTGAAGGCTATGAAGGGTCAGCATCAGGCAAGATCTTTTTCAGTTGGAGTTTTCAATTGGAAAAGCAGGACGGGGGTGAGGTGGTGGTGGTGGAATGTTACCTAATGAAGGGTCGAAGGAGCGCCAGAAATGCCTTCACATACCACGTAGCATGGACAACCACCAGGGCTTGCAGGTTTTTCCGGAGCCTGCAGAAGAAAATGCAATGATCTCTTCCTCCACCTCTTGACTGAAAAACAAGGCAGAACAATGCTCTGCACTTTACCTTCCTTTATTCTCTGGTTTCTAGATTTGTCTGGCAACTTGGTTTATTCCCCAATCTTTCGGCTGCAGTCTCAGCCCTGCCCATCTGGTGCAGCCTGCTGTGCTCCTCTTTAACAAACTTCTCTCCGGGTCCCTCAGCCTTGTCTTCTAGATCATATTTACCTCCTCGCTCGCCTCCCTCTCATGCCACCCCTCACCCCCTTTGGTAAACTTTCTTCTGTCTACTTGCCCATTCCTGCATGATTACAAACCCTAGAGAGAAGACGACCAGGGTGAAGAAAAAAAAAGGGGGTGGGGAGGTGGGGGGGAAGAGTAGGAAGAAAGAGAAAAGGGATCAAATGGAAGATGAGAAAACAAAGAAAGGAAGGAATGTTGGGGTGGGGGTGGGGGAAACAGCTGTGGTGAGGGAGGAAGGCCGAGACCAGAAGACACCGGGGATGTGGAAAGCGAGACAAAGGGCCATGCGGGGAGAATTCTGCAATATGTAACCACGATTCACTGGATTTTCTCAAATACCCGTGGGGACCAAACCCACCCCATCGCCGTGGACTTTGTTGTTCTGTGCTGTCTAGTCCATTCCAGCGAACGGTGGGTGACCCTGTATGACAGAGCTGGACAGTTCCATTTTACAAATGATGAATCTGTACCAGGAAAGTAAGTGACTTGTCCAAGATGACAAGGTCATACAGTGAGTTAGTAGTAAAGGCAAATGTTAGAACTAGTATCGGGCTGTTAGGGCGCTTTGGTGGTGTGGTGGGTTAGGTTAGGTTAGCTGCTAGCAGTTCCAAACCACCAGCTGCTCTGCAGGAGAAAGGCTTTCTTCTTCTCTAAGGATTTACAGTTTGGGAACTGCTGTATAGGCTCGTGATGAGTCAGAATTGACCCAATGGCAGTTGGTGGACTGCTAACCACAAAGTCAGTGGTTCAAACCCAGTAGCTATTCCTTGGAAGAAAGATGAAGCTGTCTATACCCTCAAAGATTTACAGGCTTGGAAATCCTACTGAGCAGTTCTACTCTGTCCTATAGGGTTATTATGATTGGCAGTGAGTGTGGAATATAGAATAGGAGAGTGGACCCAAAACAAGTGAGGGCTAGAAAGGACCCAAAACAAGTGAGGGCTAGTAAGGGAAATAGAAGGATCTAGAAGCAAAGGGAGGAACTAGCTAGAAGAAGAAAGAAATGAACAATAGCAGAAAAAGATAAGATCCAGAGTCACTACCCTCTCCTTAGGGACTCACCTTCGGTCCAGGGTACGGTACCACTGCCGGATCCATCCCAGAGGTGGCACTTGGGCCCTACATGTGCCTCCGCTAAAGTGAACAAGTAGATAATGTTCAGCTACCAGCAGCTCCAGGGTTCCCACCATGTACCTGGAAGGGATGAGATTGCCAGGGAATGTAGGTTTGGGGTTGCAGAATGAGGGGGACTGATGATTATAGACACTGTATTCTGCTCAGGAGATTCTGGAAGCAGTTCAGTTTTGCTTTCCCTGCCCTAAAAACCTACGGTGTGTCTTCAGGCCTTCCACCTCACCTAAACAAGTGTTCCATGACGTAGGTGTAGTTGGGGATGCTGCTTCTGGGTAGGTAACAGGAAGCAAAGAGGATGACAGCATTGAGGCCATCACCATGGTAACCTGGGGAGGGCACAGGGAACAATTCATTTAGTTAATACATATGTATGTGTTGATAAACGGCCCGTTTGTAGAGGTTGAGCGTTTCAGGGTCCCTGGAAGTTACAGGGAGGATTTTAGACATGTTATCCAAGAAGGCACAGTTCCTCCGCTAGCATTCATTTCAATTATTACTGCCATGAGGAAGACGGGGTTTTCTGCTCCCATAAACAGTTCGTCCGGAAACCCACAGCGGGGTCGTAGGAGCCAGCACTGACTCGATGGCAGTGCACTTGGTTAATCTGGTTGGGGTTACCTCCGTGAGATAGGACTTTCTTATAGGGTTCGATGACAGTCATGTCCACTCGCTGTTCTCGCTGTCCTGTTCGGAACACCCTCCAGTGATGACCATCTTCTCCAGCCACGTCCCACATACAGCCCCGACCTAGCCTCTCAGCTGCCTCACTGGCCCTCAGGCTTTCTGCCCGGGGCAGCTCATCTAAAAGGGAGGGACAGAGAAAGATCCATGGAGTGGAATTCCCACCTTCTGGATCTTATCGCTTACTCAGATTCCTAAAACCCAACCTGCCGACATCAAGTCGGTCCTAGAAGAGTTGACGGCATCATAGGGTTTCTGAGACTATAAATCTTTATGGGAGTAGATAGCCTCATCTTTTCTCTGTGGAGTGGCTAGTGGGTTTGAACCACTGACCTCATGGTTAGATCTTATTAGTCTATTTTCACATTTTCCAATTTTTTCCTTGAGTCCTTAGCTGTTATTTTGTCCAATCAACCCAATCCCTTGCTGGGCTCTCTTGCCTATGTCTCATTATCCCCTCTTTGTCACCAATAGACGAGAGGCCTGCCATGACCTGGTCTACAGCCCTGGCCAATAACTACCTGCTTTTTTGTTCAGGCTATTTCCTGGGTGAAATCATCTATGCACGTGTCTGCAATTACCACCAGTGATGACTTTCTAATTTGTCTCTTTAACCCAAACTTCCTTCCTAACTCGAGGCCTCATATCCCTAAAGGCCTACAACAGACATCTCTACTCTCTCTCTCTCTCTGTAATCTCAGATTCCTCAGGCCCAAACCAGAACTTGTACACATTCTCTTTCTCCTCCCTCCTATGGCTCTTATCTTGATGAGTGACCTCACCGTCCATCTGGTTGCCTGAGAGAGAACTCTGTGTGTCATCTGAGTCTTTGTCCTTGTCAGCCCTGAAACCAACTGCACCTCAGATTCTCCTTCTCCCACCTCCCACCTCCACCCAGCCTTAGTACTACTAGCCACTGACTGGCCTCCCTGCCTCTAGTCTCCTCCAATCCTCAGAGCAAGCTTTCTTACCTCCCCTGCCTTTCTGACTCAAAATGCTAATCCACTGTACCCACTCATCTGCATGATCTTTCCTTGAAAAAGAGAAATTCCATGGTATTCCAGATATACCATAATAGCATTAATATTCTACTGATGAGCCTTTAGAGCAGCGGTTCTCAACCTGTGGGTTGTGGGGTGGGGGTGGGGGGTGGGGGTGGGCAGATGACCCTTTCACAGGGGTCACCCGAATCATAACAGTAGCAAAATTATAGTTATGAAGTAGCAATGAAAATAATTTTTATGGTTGGAGGGTCACAACAACACAAGGAACTGTATTAAAGGGTCACGGCACTAGGAAGGTTGAGAATCACTGCTTTAGATTGTTTCCAATCTTTATAGAGCCATCAACTTTGGTTATGTTATGCCTTTGATGAAAATTGTCAGTGACTCTTTGTCTACAGGACAAAGTCTAAAGTCCTCCACATGGCCGCCAGGGCCTCCTTGATTTCACCCTCCAACTGATCGCAGCTCTACTTTCTTGTCATTCTCTATTTACCTCCCAACCCTCCCTCTAGACCAGGCGTCCTCAAACCATGGCCGCAGGCCACATGCAGCCCGCTGAGGACATTTATCTGGCCTGCTGGGAGTTTTTGCCCCATTTGTTTTTTTACTTCAAAAGAAGATATGTGCAGTGTGCATAGGAATTTGTTCATAGTTTTTTTTTAAACCTATAGTTTGGCCCTCCGACGGGTCTGAGGGACAGGAACTGGCCCCCTGTTTAAAAAGTTTGAGGACCCCCTGCTCTAGACAGTCAAGCTTACTTAACACTCAGCATCGCCCAACATGCCATCCTTCCGCTCACATTGCTGTCTTCTATCTAGAATGCCCTTTCTCCACCTGATAAACATCAGCTCTCAATACTTCATCTATCTCCTCCATGAGGCCTCTCCTGACATTCAGGAAGAACTGCTTACTTCGCTATGTAGATCATAAATCATCACCCTCAATGGCACTGTTTGTGTATGTGTTTATTCCCTACCAGACACAATTCTCTGTGAGAAGGGACTATCTTATTCCTTTACAACTCCAGTTCTAGCGCAGTGATAACATGCAACTGTCATTCCTCAATAAACACTAGACCCTCTCTCCTCTACTGACTGCTCTGAGGTCTGCACACTCTACCTTTCTGTTCTGAGGAAACAGATTTTATCTCTTGGTCCACACCTTATTCATTCTAATAGTTCTAATTTCCCATTAAATCCATGCTGGGCTACTTGAACACTGGCTTCTATCAATCAGATCCACCCTCAGGATTGGTTCCCACCTTCCCACTCAAACTCATGTCCACTGTCCAGCTGCTCCGAGTCTGATGGCGTCTCCAGTTCATCTAATGCCAGGTCAGAACTGCCACCAGGAGAAGAAGGTGCAGAGTCGGCGGGAGACGTTCCATTATCCCCAGGTCCTTCGGTCAGATTCAGCTGCAACTCTGAGGCAGAAAGACGCTTACGCATAGGGCGCTGGCCACAAAGGGCTAACGTGCTGGGGTACGTACCTGGGATTGGAGGAGAAAGGTGTGAGAGTTAGGTGTCGGTGAGAGTGGGCATGAATAGAATTCTGCATATGGAAGTGGGAACTCTGAGAAAGGAAGAAGGGATACAGGGGATGTTTAGGAAAGAGGATCTAGAACAGCAAAGGGAGAGGGGTGGCATAGCCCCTCGCTGGACCAGAACCAGGAACGTAAGGTCTAGCTTCAACTTTCCCTACCTGGCTGTGAGTGTTCGGTAGGGTCTTCAGAAGGGTCAGTGTCCTCAGAAAGCAATCTAGAGGGGAGTTAGTTAAAAGGGGGCAGAGATAGAGGCTGAAGGCATCAACCAATGATTCTCTCTCCTCACCGTAACTTCATTTTCTTTTTTCCATCAAATATGAATCCACCGTGCCTGCCCTCCATTTGTGGCCATCCCTCCCAGCCTTCCTCCCACTTCCTCACCGGGGGAATTCTTCATCCTGCCATTCCTCCTTCAGCTCCAGTTCCCCAAGTCTCTTGGCTGCTCCTAGTCCTGTGGCTTCTGCATGCTCCCCGTCCCTAAAGTTCCCCCGGAAGAAAAGACAATCGTGAGATAACCTGGACCTGGGGAGTAGGCCGGGAGAGTAATTAAGGAACAGGGGGCAGGCCTTCAAAACAAAACAGCTCACATCTCTTGTCTCCCAGCTCACAACTGGCTGAAAGCAGAATACCCCTACGGCTGGTTAGAAGCAGAGGAAAATCAGAATGTGAAGCGAGTCCTATTTACCAGTTGCTCCACCTATCACAACCTTCCCCATTATAATTGGCTAGAATCCAGAGACCCGCCTAGCTGTCACTGGGCAAAGTTGGGGAAGATGGCACCTGGTCAGGCCTGCTTTCCTCCACCTCGCTGGGGAGTGGCTAGGAGAAACCATGGCACAAGCCTGAGGGTGGAGAATACAGGTAAGGAGAGAATGAGCAGCTGTATGGGGAACCCGGAGCTAAACTCGATTCAGGGACAGTACTCTTGATAGTCATTGTGGAAGGTAGGGATTGGAAAATGAACCACCCAGGCAGATAAATCAGGCAAAATAGAGAACCTGCCCCCTTTTTGGAACAGGGAATTGTTCTGGGAACCCCGGTTCCGATACCGTATTGGCATTCCCTGCCTAAAGTCACCTTCATGGCTTCCCTGAGAATGAATTCGTCTGGTGCCATCTCCCAGGAACCCCTACGAGCTGACCTGGCAGGAAAGGCCCTCAGAGTACCCATTTCCTATTTCCCATCCAGTAGTGCCAAACTTACGGAAGCGCTGGTGCCTTTTCTCCTGCCTCTTGCATGGTTCCCATCTTCAGAAGTCTTCCTGTCTCTTGGAAATACTTGGAGTCGTCATCCCAGCTCCCCAACACTTCTTTTCCCCCTTTCTCTGTCTGGGCTGCTGTTTCCATTGCCTCCAAGGAGGGGGGTGTGGAAGGAAGGTAAACTCATCTTCAAACAGGTTTTGCCACCTCCCCTCCCAAGAAGGTTTGCCCAAAAGAAAAACTCTGCCTCCTGTGTGGGGGCGGGATTGGGGAGGTGCGTTTGCTCTGATGGCTGATCTTAAGGAAGTCTAGGAGAGAGGCTTGTTCTCCTCTCCAGATCCCTTACCACCTTCTAGGAAGCTTTCTTTTTGCTTTCAGTGAGTAGAAAACATTTGTTCGTAAGACTGCCTTAGGCCTAATTTTTCAAGCATAAGCAAAATTGGGGAGAAAGGAGAGATCTGGGAGAGTAATAAATCAAAGGCTGAGGATGAGGGGGGACAGAAGCTGCTGCTCCTGATCCCCAAAAGGGGTTGTCAGCAGGGAATGGTGTCACACACATCAGGAGGCGGGGCTGTGAAGCTTGATAAGGCCAGGCATTAGCGGGAAAGGGCTTATTCTAGAAGCTAAAAACAAAACCCAAACAGCAAAAGAATATTTAATACTTTAACAAAATGCAAAATAAAGTACCCAAGTTACAAAACATAAATTCCTTTGGTTCAGCAATTACACTATTTTACTTTCTAAATGGCTACAAACATTATCCCCTCAAAGTGAACTCAGACTGTCCCCCTCACAGAAGATGTCATGTCAAAACCGTCACATACACCGATGTTCAGGGAAGTAATTGGCCACCTGCATGAATAGAGCTGTGGGGTAAGAAGAGGGAGAATGATGTAATCCACAGGAAAGGGAGCCTTTCCACATGCACAAGTCAGTGAGAGGGAGCGCGGGGTCACTACGGTATGAGGCATAACCCTATACATGCTACATGAGGCCAGGTCTCTTGGTACAATCACGCATAATTACAGACACTTCAGTGACCCCGACCAGTCCCAGGGAAGACAGAAGAAAGGATGATAGTAAAAGGCAGATCACAGAACACCAGAGAACATCTAATCCAACTCTTAATTTTATAGACGGGCAAACTGAGGTCCAGAGAAGTGAAATGTCTTGCCTAAAGATGCACAGTTCACGGCAACCTGTATTAGAATCCAGCTACTTCATGCTTTCATACGCGCAAGAAGAGAAAGAGGTGGGCAAGGAAGCGCGAGGCCTGCTAAGGCAGGGACAGAGCCAAGGCTTTCATTCCAGTGCTGCTGTCTTACGGGAAGGTGCCTGTAAAGTGGACCGGCCTTCCTGGGTGCCTGCTGGACTCTCAAGAACCAGGGGTCTCCGGGGTTTCTCTAGGGTGCCTGCAGCTCTGAGACAGAGTGACCCAAATACCTGAGAGTCAGGCCACCTGATCCGGATGTAAATTTTTTTTTTTCCAGATGTAAATTAACAGCCTCCAGTCTGCTACCGAACAAGAACTGAAATAGTCACCATCAGCTCTCGACTGGAAGTTTGCCATTTCCGAACCAAACCCCATTACCTAACTGAGGACAGAAAGACGAGTCATGGCACGGGAACTCTGCTAACGGCTCAGAACTGGAGCAGGAGTGGCTCAGGCCCAGTCTTACGTTCTACCCTGCTCCATGCAGGCAATCAAGAAATACTTTTCCAAGGACATGAACAAATGAATACAATGGCGATAACCAATGATCGCAGGGTTCCACAAGCACATTTAAGGAACACATCCTGTTTGTCCTGTTGTGTTGGCACCGGCGCCCTGGCAAATGAATGAGGAGAAATGTCAGTGCGGATGCAAAGAGTAAAATGAAACAATAACACCGGTCTGTTGGCAGAGATGGCGGGAAGATGGGAGAGCTGTTGCTAAAGCGGCTGCTTTCTCGCACATCGTCCTCCTCCTCCAGCGGGATGAGAAGAGCACCAGAGCCTGGAGCAATGAAGACACTACTGCTGAAACCTCCAGACATCTCAAAGCATGCATTTGTTGTGGGTTCGAGCCCCCCTCCCACTCGTCCCTCCTATCCCAAGGGTCACTTCTTTGCGAGGGAGGAAGTCGTCGCCTGGAACTGTGAGATCTGATTGCATTTCTCAAAGATGGCCTCGGCTGAGAGCTTCGGCAGCCCCTGGTCCAGGGGGCAATCATCCACCAAGCTGTTCATGGGCGTTGGGGGCAAAGGTGGGTCCTCCTCATCTTGGCTCACTCCAAGGTTCAGGGACTTGCTTTCCCTGTTCATTTCCTTGTGCACCTGCTGCCTGGGCACATCCATGACTTCAGACTGCCCTGCAGGGATCTTCATGGAGTCCAAATATGCTGACAGGGTTTCCTGTAGCAGAGGCAGAAATTTCTTCCTCGAGACCTGGGTGTTGCCTTGAAGATAGGCTTGGAGGTTAGAATGGGTGCTTGGGATAGAGGTTAACTTCAGGGGTGGAGAGTGAGAGCGTTCCAGGACTCCACAGATCTAAAACAGAAACAAGAACAGGGGAGTGACATTGACGGTGGAGTAGCAAAGAGCTGAGGCTTTTAAATCAGAAGCTTCCCTTACAAAGGCAAAATCCTGAGCATTCCGTTTGACTGCTCACCACAAAGGAGCCGCAGCTAGCATACACGGGATTCTAGAAACATCTGGGATCAGGTATTTTCTTGTATAAGGGAGAAACCCAGGGTTCAGAGCCAGAACCTAGGTCCCTAGTTCCTAATAAAGTCTTTTCAAGAATATCCCTGTGCTTAAAAACTTGCACTCTTACCTTGGCTGGGAAGGAACTGGGACCTATCTTGAGGTCAGGGAAAGGGCAGAGGCAGTAAAAATGAATAAGCAAAAATGAGAGTGCACGCTCATGATATGGAGAGGTGACTGACTACACGAGGCATGGTATCATGACTAGCTGTTGATACATATTATCTCATTTAATCTTCATGACCATTTTGTAGGACTGGTATTACTAAGACTCCTAGGTGAAGAAACCTAGGCTTAAGTAAGTCACCTAAATCCTAGTTATCATGAAATAAAGCTGAGATTCGGTCCCAGGCCTGTCACCAACACCTGTGATTGACCACGTTCTATTACACTACCACAAGCATAACATTCCATGATTTATGTGTGTTCGTCTGGCTTGTGTGTTCCTCTGATGCTAGAAACCATGCCACTGGTTTTTCAAATGCCAGCAGGGTCAACCAATGTGAACAATTTCCGGTGGGGCTCCCGCAGACTAAGAGACTAGGCAGAGAGAACAGGCTGTCTACTTCTGAGCGATTAGCTACTGAAAACTTGAAGAATAACAGCAGAACACTCAGATAGCACCAGAAGTGATTCCCTCCGATTGGTAGGCACTCAAAATTCAACTGAGCAAAAGTAGCTTGCTCAAAGCAGGACCAAGAAAGAGTTGTTCAACAGAACAAGAAAATACTGAGTACTTTAAACTCAGGACAGGTGTACTGGATTGTATCCCTTCACCACACTTTTCCATCTGTACGCTGAGCAAATAACCCAAGACTCGCCTATATGAAGAAGAACACAGCATCAGGATTGGAGGAAGGCTTATTAATATGTGGGTGACAACCTGGCTTACTGAGCGTGAGGAGGACTTGAAGCACTTGCTGATGAAGATCAAGGTCTGCAGCCCTCAGTACGGAGTATAATTCAATATAAAGAAAACTAAAATCCTCACAACTGGACCAACAGACAACATCCATGATCACCTGAGAAAAGACTGAAGTTGTCAGGATTTCACTTTGCAGGATCCACAATCCAAGAAATCACACGATACGTTCCCTTGGGCAGATCTGCTGCATATGACCTCTTTACAGTGTTGGAAAGAGCAAGGATGTCTCTTTCAGGACTAACGTGCACCTGAACCAAACTGTGGTCTTTTCGGTGCCCTCCTCTGCCTGTGAAAATTGGACACTGAGCAAGGAAGATCACACAGGAAAGAATGCCTTTGTACGCTGGTGCTGGGAAGAATATCGAAACACTGTGGGCCGCCAGAAGGACAGGCAGACCTCTGTCGGAAGGACGGCCAGGATGTGCCTGAGAAGCAAGGGTGGCAGGGTTTCCTCGGACATACTTTGAGCACATGATCGTCAGGAAAGACTGGTCTCTGAACAATGGTGTCATGCTTGGTCAGCACCGTGGCTCCAACAATGGGCTCAACCCTAACGGTGGTGAGGTGGCGAGGGGCCGGGCCGGGCCATGTTTTGCATTGCTGTGCACAGGGTCACTCCATGGCACCGAGCGACCACCTAAAATCGACACGGCGGCAACAGCAGCTCACTCACACCACGTGGGAGGCCGTCACAGGACCAGGCCAGGCTCAGTTCTGTTGTACACATGGGGTGGACAGTGGCTGCAACAAGGGGCTCACGCGAACGATGGTAAGGCTGGTGCAGGACTGGACAGTGTTTCATTCTGCTGTACGTAGTGTTGCCGAGTCAGGACGGACTCAATGGCACCTAACAACAACAACAACAAACACAGTGGACTCCAGCCAAAGGGCTGGTGGACATGTCCACCCAGCGGCACTTAGAAGAAAAGCCTGGCCATCAACTGGAAAAATCCCCCACAAGAACCCGATGGCGTGCACACACGTGGCGTCGTGAGTCAGAATCGACAGTGTTTGTTGTTGTTTAGTTGTTCACTGGACCTCAGGAGGGAGCGAGGAGATAGTGGGGCAGACCACCCAAACAGGATTCATGTTTCCTGCACAGACAGAGGCAGCTGGGCAGCGGGTGAGTCCTCAGATGGCCACACAGTTTCAGAGGGGCGGTACAGGGAGGCTGCGCTTCAGGAAGGCAGGGAGGAGCACTTCTTGCGGCCTCAGCACCTTTACCTTCACGACATGCTCAGGAATTGCCACCATTTACGGGGTGCTTGCTCTGTACCTAGAACTCGACTTCCAGGGGTTATTCTGCATCACTCTATCAGACCAATGAAGCAGGTGGTATTGTATCACTAATTGCTGAGGACATGGGCTCTAAGGTTAACTGACTTGCCTTAACACTAAGGGCTAGAAAGTGACAAATCTGGGACAGAAAAGTTAGTCTCTGTGACTTTATAAATGTGCCATTCTGAAAAACAAAATAAAAATAACCAAGTGCTATTCTTCCCACAATACCAAACTACCTTCCACTGAATGGAATTACATTTGCTTCCTGAGCAAAAAGACAAAGGGAGCGAGAAGCGGGGGAGGCAGGCATCCTTTTTGTGGGTGGAAAAGACTATGGCTAGCTCGGCCGCCCTGAGACAGCCCAAGAAGGCCAGAGTCCCTGGACGACCTTAATTCCACTTTTAAATTCTTCTCTGAGTTGATCAATGATCAAGAGAGGAACAGAAGGAGGAAGGTGGGGAAGGTGGTCAAATAGGTTGGGAGAGAAAATGACTTCTACTAGGTCACTTCTCCACAGAGTTTTCGCTATACAGTGCCTTTTATCCCTGCAAGGTGATTTGACAAGGTTTCTCCGGGGTTCCAGTTTAGGGCAGTCGTGTAGAAAGAAAGTACAGGACTGGTTTCCGGGGGCGAGGAATTGATGAAGAATCATGCACTAAATCCATATTGATAAGATTTCCTTCTAAGTAAGAATTATGCTTCCAATTCTTCGAAATTCCCCTTTCCCAACAAACAGTCTGATTAAGGCTAATCACACATGTAAGGACTGGAGGGGTGGGGGGGAGGGAAGGTTCTGGGAACAGTCCAGGAAGCTCTGTACACATCTAAGAATAAAGGGAAGGCCCTACAGGGGAGGGCAGGGCTCAGGGACCAGGCCTGTGGGGCCCTCAGCCTGGGTAAGGGACAGAGACTCACCATCATTCGGAGCGCCATATGAGGGCAGAAAACAGCTAACTGGCGTACTGGCTCGTGGTCTGGGTTGAAAAAGATGGTCATGGCAACCAGGACATCGTAACCGTGAGCCTGGCAGAAAGCACCGAGATCCTCTGTGAGGTTGGGCCTCCTCAGAAAAACCTGGAAGAGAGGCCACGAAAGGAACATTGAGGGCCGCAGCTGGAACCCACCTGGTCACCGTCCACGCAGAATCTCTCGGGACGCTTTCTTCCCAGGAGAGCCAGTGGGCCTGGGGAGCTCGTATTTCCTCAGTGGTACCTAGGTGGGCTGGGCGGCAGTGTGGCAGGATGGGGAGAGCAGGGTCTTTGGATTCAGGCAGAAAGGGTTTAAAACCAGCTCCACTGCCCACTCATTATCTGATCAGGAAGTCTAGTCACCACCCTGGACCCTACTGTAGTTGTCTGTAAAACAAGGACGAACAAGGATTGTTTTCAGATTAAAACGATAATGCTGTAAGGTGCCTGGCTCTCCAGCGCTTACAATCAAATAGGCAAGGTCTTTGCCTTGGATTATTTTTTATTCTCAAACAGAACAATGGGGTATGCAAACCAACAGGAACAGCCTGTGATCAGTGATCCTCTGGCTCCTCCTTCTTGACCAAGCTCTACTCCAAAATCTACCACAGTGTTTTCCCCAAGGAGTAATACCACCCCCCTCTGTGGATCATGGCTTTTACCCTGGCATTTTGAATGTATCATTTTCCCCTGTGGTTATGGTACTTGGCCAGCCTTTTATGTTCGAATGTTCCCCCCAGCCCCGACCAAGTTAGAAGAGTCTCGAGGGAGGAAGTCATGCTACTTTATTTATTTATTTTTTTCTGCACCATTTCAGAGGATGAAAGCACATGTGCTTAGATCAGGTTGCCAAGGGCTACCTACCATGCGCTATGAAACCAGGTCTCAAAGCATCTTGGCGCTCTGTAGACCTTTACCTAAGTCACAATGGGAAGCTTCTCTTGTTTGTTTTAAATCGCCATTAGCAGTGGAAGAGGTGAGCTATGACCCTACAGCCGTGAACTCTCCGACCAAGGGTGGAGCAAAGTGCCCCAGACAGAGAGTGTTGGGTAGCAGTAGCAGCAACAACAACCGTTGTTCTTATTTTGACACGGAGCCAGGATGCTGCTCTATGATATTCCCAACTCTCAACTTCCATCCTCCAGCTTTTGGTTCAACACAGGCGGATATGCTTCTTTGGGGGTTGCTACTCTGAACGTTTTTAATAAGCCCTTCTGCAGTTAAAACATGTGGGTAAGTAAAAAAGCATTACTATAGAATGAAAAGAAACTACTCCTAAAGAGAAAAGTATCACAATGGGAAGCGATTGTTTCTGGACATGTTCTCTCTCTAGGTCCATATGCTTCTGAAGGCTGTGCTTCCGTCTCTCAAACCCTTCCCCGAGGATGTCTGTGCTTTGATTCGCATCAAAACAAACAGCAGTTTAGGGGCCCTGGAGGGACTGGAATCCTAGTCCTCTGAAATGCTGAGTTTGGGGAACTAAAATAAGTCTGAAAGGGCAAGATGAGGCCTGTAGGGTGATGGGGTGAGGTTTGCCAATATACTTCCCCTTGAAGAACGAGAAAGTGCATCATGTGGTAGAAAAACTAATTCTCCAGCACAACTTTCCTAGCCTTGCTCTCGCAAATGCAGTTTTAAATGTTCTTAAACTTCTTCATAAAAAGTCCCTGTGATGACCCTGTGTCCTTTGAAAATATGTCAAGAACAATCCTTTGGTATCTCAAAAAAATCCAGTCCCCATAGCCTTCTGGACCGGCCTCTCTGCCTTCAATTAACCTGGCCCAGCAGATGCCCTCAGAAGCTCTGCTTTGATTGGCCCTCGCTCTCAGGACAGCACTGGTCAATCCAAGAGTTATCCCTGGCTACAACTCATTCCATAAAATCCTCTTCATTAGCTTTGATCTTGCTTCAAAGGCGGATGGAAAGACCACCTCCTTGAGTTAGCTGATCTTCATGGAATGTTCTTGGTAGACACTGAACCGAAAGCCTGCTGAACCCATGAAGTTTAAAATTGAAAACGTGAGATCCACCCGTGGGATCCCAAATTAAGTAGCAGTTACCTCCGTGTCAATTTTACAGTCTTCTTTCACCAGTTTCTGCACGTCAGCCTCAGTTGCTCCAGGCACCCAGGCTGGCGGGCTTCCCCCCCTGCACGCACCTTTGGAGGTTTCCAATGATGCTTGTGGCCCCTAAAAACTTGTTTTAGGTGGAGTAGCATTCCCGTGCACTTATGATAACGTTTCAATGATTTAGAAAGAAAGCATCCTTTTTTTATTTTTAAAGACAATAAGAGATCATCTTCCTCAACTCATGAGGTTAACCTGCTTGGTGAGTGAAACTTACTTCGCTTATTCAATCTTAGCTCCCCTTAAAAAAGAGAGAGACATTTAGACGTATGACTGAGAGAACTTGTCTGCAACCATCCACTGATGACAGAGACATATTTGAACATGCTTTGTTTAGAATAAATGTGTGCACATATAAACTGGGGCCAAAGTAGCAAGGCTCTCTGACTTGCTCTCATATGTATTACAGCCATGTTTACATGTACTTTTTCCACTGGTTAGCTGTAGCCCTCTGGGCAAAACTCTTAACTTTTTTGGTTGGAAGTAACAGTACCCAGGTTGTTGGAAGAATTGAATGAGCTGTTCTAGGTCAGTGGTTCTCAGCCTTCCTAATGCCACGACTCTTAGTACAGTTCCTCATGTTGTGACCCCCAACCATAAAATTATTTTTGTTGCTACTTCATAACTGTAATTTCATTACTGTTATAAATCGGGAGACCCCTGTGAAAGGATCGTTCGAGCCCCCAAAGGGGTCGCGACCCACAGGTTGAGAACTGCTGTTCTAGGTAAAGCACAAAGCATAATGTCCAGCACACAGAAAATGCCCAAGAGCCGTGAGGCGACACCATCATCATCCTACGTGCATATTCAAACTGACACGCTAAGCACCTGCATAGAGCTTTTAGGTTAATTCTAACATACTTTATCATTCAATGTAGCTCTTGATGGTATTCAAACACACATTCCTTCACCCATCCGAGAAAATGTACCAAGCACCCACTAGGTGCAGGCATGGTCAGAGGTATACCAGACACAGCAGGAATCAAAGAAACAGGGTCCCTGCTCTGGTGGAACCTCGAAATCAGTGGAAGGAGAAAGAAAAGGATGAAACAAGACCATTGTAGAGTGCTGTGCTATAAAGAAAACAAGATCAGATTAGAGCCAGGGCCTTTTTACTAGCATGAGGGACATCACTTTAGTTAGGATGGTCAACAAAACAAAACAAAAATACCTTTAAACCTCTCAAAAGTAGAGACACCTGAGCAGAGACCTGGATGCTAAAAGCCAGCTTTGCAAAGGGAAAAAAGGAGCGCAAAAGCCCTGAGTGGTGAGTGAGCGTAGCAGTGGCTCTGAGGAACACAGGGAAGACAAGCGTGACACCAGTACTGTGAGGCAATTGGGGGGTGGGGGTGGGGGTGGCTGACAGAAGCCCATTTAAGGCTTTCAAAGAACCACTCTGGACACGGTGGAGAGAACTCTCTGTGGCGTGCAGAAGTGGAAGCAGGCAAACCGGCGTGGAGGCTGTTTCAGCCGTGCAGGGGGCAGATGACAGGCTGCATGCGGGGCTTAAAGTGAGGAAGGAGAATAGTAAATAGGTACAAGGTCTGCTTTGGAGGTGAGCCGGCAGGATTTGTTGAGAAATTTGAAAGGAGGGGCGAGGTTACCAGTGTAATTGGATGATTTCTCTCCTAACCCTTGGCCACATCTTGCACTTACCTCCAAATCCATATATATTACACTAATGGCCACCTTGATGCTTTCTTTATAGATGGTCTTCTGGTCCTTCCTCAGCATCTGCTCGGTGGTCAGTCCTAGAAAGTGGACATGAGACTAGCAATCACACGGGAGAGCCAGGGTCCCGAGACCAGGAAGCTGAGGGTACCAAGGTGGGTCAAAGAGGAGGGAAAATAATGGCGCAATGAATGGGAGATCCAGGAAAACAGAATTATATAACCACAGATTACTTTAAATAACTGAGCCACAACAAGTTACCGTTAGAGAAAGGGACTTTAGAGATAAGAATAGATGGAAGAAAAGAGGTTTTCACCTTTATCCCTTTCACATTATTTTAGTGCTTATCACTATAATGTGCTATTTTCTATTTTTTAAATGTTAACTATTGGTGGGCTGGGTGGACATTTATGGAAGATTTTTTTTGTTCTCTTCTTTTAGCCTTGGTATGCTCATCCCGAATGTTTCTTCTACCTCCTTGATCTCACTCTGATAATTTAGGATTCCCTCAGTATATTTTATTTTTATGCCCCTGTTCTCTGACTCCATTGGAAACCTCTGAGACTCTTGGTATATTTCTCCTCAACCTACTCCAAAGCCTGTTGAGAATCCAGTAAGTGACATGTTAGTTCATGTCAGCCTCACATGCCATCTACTTTCTCTCTTGCTTATAGTTGATTAGAAAGCACGGTGCATGCTCTGAAGTGGTTCTGATGGGGGCCGAGGACATAATGCACAAGGCTTGCCCACCCACTGGCTCATTGGCTGGGGAGGGCAGTCATTTTGACACCCCATACCTGACACATCGAACTTGGCCTTCTGCAGGGCATTAAAGATGTCATTTCTGTTAGGTAAGCCTGGAAAGACAAGCTCCAGTTTTTCCACATATCTGCTGTCCTTCAGGGTTGCTTTTCCAACTTTAAGGTCCATGTTGACACAGTCCAGGATGATGGTTCCTGTGGGGAAGGAAGATTAGAGAACTGAAATCCTGTGGCGCTCCACTCACACCCACGGCAATACAGACAGCCCTCCCACCAAGTGGACGCAGGACAAAGGAGGCTACATGGCAAACTCAACGAAGGTAGCACAAAAACCTGGGCCTGACTGTGTGCTGAATGAAGCCTTACGATGGGGAGGAGGTAGAAAGGAAGCCTAGGTGTCTCAATCTTTGGAGATACTTCAGAGAGATGAACAATTCCATGAAAGGAACCTTAATGAGCTGGAAGAGACAGTCGTGTCCAACTCTAATCCACTGCCTGCTTGTTCTCTGAAGGAGTCCCATCCTTTGACTGAATGGCCTGACAAGGTATGTTCATACTGGAAGAGTCTAGACTGTCCCTTTCCTGGGATAGAAACGGAGGAATTAGTCAGGTCCCAAGCCCGATGCCACCCTTACCATGCAGAAGGAATGCAGTTTGCCAGTCCAGGATCTCTGGTGCCCCCTGCAGGATTCTCTCCGTCACCAGGGTAGCGCAGGACCCCACAAGCTCCACAGACACATGGCAGGGAGGGCAGTGTTTGTGTTCTATGGGCCGGTGGTCTAGCACCTCTATCACTGCCTCTTCTAGGTTGGCATCATTTCTGTTGGGAGGCAGGGGAAATGCAGGAGGGAAGAGAAAAGAAAAATCCATTTGCAAATATCATCCCAAACTGCATTCTCTTGACACCTAACATCCCAAATCCTTCCTCTTTCCTCAAATCCACAAACTTCCCATGGGGAAGCTTCTGTGGCTTCTTTCTCCTTATCAACTCCTACATTTCCTCCTTTACATCCTTCTGCTACTACCTTATTCTGGCGCTTATTATATCTTATATAGAACATTCTAGTAATCTCAAAATCTATTATCTGTTTCCAGTTTGGGGCCCTGCAGTATTAAATTAAAATGGCGCGGGGGCGTGGGGGGTGAGAGGCCAGCCCCCACCCGCTGCTTCTAATACTACCCATGGGTTCAGTAAGCACAATTGTACGGTTGAGATATATAAGCATTATATTAAAGTCATCGAGAGCATGAGAGATAATACAATAA